TTGTCACATTTATAGTCTCTTCACTCTGCCCAGCTTGCTAACGGTCATCAAAATGAAAGTCAGACAGTCAGGGAGCATCAAAAATTCCAAAGGCCATGTACAAAGGACAATTTTTTGCTAATTTTGACGGCAAGGAAATATAATACATTTTAAGTGCGGCCCTCCGGATCTCAGTGAAGACCGAATACGTCCCTCCGGATCTCAGTGAAGACCGAATGCGTCCCTCCGGATCTCAGTGAAGACCGAATGCGTCCCTCCAGACCTCAGTGAAGACCGAATGCGGCCCTCCGGATCTCAGTGAAGACCGAATGCGTCCCTCCAGACCTCAGTGAAGACCGAATGCGTCCCTCCGGATCTCAGTGAAGACCGAATGCGTCCCTCCGGATCTCAGTGAAGACCGAATGCGTCCCTCCGGATCTCAGTGAAGACCGAATGCGTCCCTCCGGATCTCAGTGAAGACCGAATGCGTCCCTCCAGACCTCAGTGAAGACCGAATGTGGCCCACAGGGCAATATGAGTTTGACACCCCTGTCCTAGATAGAGTAAAGGCTAATTAGCTGTGCGGATGATGAGACGGTGGCTGATGCAATATCTGGCTGCTGCTTCTCCCTGTGCCTGAACTGCTTAATCATGCTACTATGTGCTACTTTGTGTTGTGTTGTGTCGTGTTGTGATGGTGTCGTGTTGTGATGGTGTCGTGTTGTGATGGTGCTGTGTCGTCATGGTGTGTGTCGTGTTGTGATAGTGTTGTGTTGTGATGGTGTGTGTCAGGTCGTGTTGTGATGGTGTATGTCGTGTTGTGATAGTGTTGTGTTGTGATGGTGTTGTGTTGTGATGGTGTGTGTCGGGTCGTGTTATGATGGTGTGTGATGGGTCGTATTGTGATGGTGTGTGTCGTGTTGTGTTGTGATCGTGTTGTGTTGTGATGGTGTGGTGTTTCATGATGGTGTGTGTTGTGTGTGTTGTGTTGTAATGGTGTGTGTTGTGTGTGTTGTTTCATGATCGTGTGTGTTGTGATTGTGTGTGTTGTGTTGTGATGGTGTGTTGTTTCATGATGGTGTGTGTTGTGTTGTGATATTTTCTTTTTTTACTTTGCTGCCCCGCCTAGATTGAGTGTGAAATCTCAATGATTGCAGACCCCTTTTTTCCTTCGATAATCAATATTTCATTCACATTGTTAGTGCACTTGCATGGTATATGATATGGATGCCGCCATCTTTGGTGTGAAAATAACAGATACTGTATGTCCTCTCTTTACCTTTGCTGACCTCTCCATCTCCCAGCCGACCAGTCTAAAAACCTCCTGCATTAATTTAGCTAGCCAGGAATCATCAGCATTGATCAAAGTGTCCTCTCTCAAGAGAACCAGAGAAAATAACGGCTGACCGAAAACTGCACTGACCAGTCAGCCAGCCAGGATGCATGCAAACATTGATTATTCATTTGAGTTGTTTTGTGAGTGTAGCTTGACTAATGCCTCAGACAATGTATACAGTGGCTTGCAAAAGTATTCACCCCCCTTGGCATTTTTCCTATTTTGTTGCCTTACAACCTGGAATTAAAATGGATTTTTGGGGGGTTTGTATCTTTTGATTGGCACAACATGTCTATCACTTTGAAGATGCAAAATATTTTTTGGGGTGAAACAAACAAGAAATAAGACAAAAAAAAAACAGAAAACTTGAGGGTGCATACAGTGGGGAGAACAAGTATTTGATACACTGCCGATTTTGCAGGTTTTCCTACTTACAAAGCATGTAGAGGTCTGTAATTTTTATCATAGGTACACTTCAACTGTGAGAGACTGAATCTAAAACAAAAATCCAGAAAATCACATTGTATGATTTTTAAGTAATTAATTTGCATTTTATTGCATGACATAAGTATTTGATACATCAGAAAAGCAGAACTTAATATTTGGTACAGAAACCTTTGTTTGCAATTACAGAGATCATACGTTTCCTGTAGGTCTTGACCAGGTTTGCACACACTGCAGCAGGGATTTTGGCCCACTCCTCCATACAGACCTTCTCCAGATCCTTCAGGTTTCGGGGCTGTCGCTGGGCAATACGGACTTTCAGCTCCCTCCAAAGATTTTCTATTGGGTTCAGGTCTGGAGACTGGCAAGGCCACTCCAGGACCTTGAGATGCTTCTTACGGAGCCACTCCTTAGTTGCCCTGGCTGTGTGTTTCGGGTCGTTGTCATGCTGGAAGACCCAGCCACGACCCATCTTCAATGCTCTTACTGAGAGAAGGAGGTTGTTGGCCAAGATCTCGCGATACATGGCCCCTTCCATCCTCCCCTCAATACGGTGCAGTCGTCCTGTCCCCTTTGCAGAAAAGCATCCCCAAAGAATGATTTTTCCACCTCCATGTTTCACGGTTGGGATGGTGTTCTTGGGGTTGTACTCATCCTTCTTCTTCCTCCAAACACGGCGAGTGGAGTTTAGACCAAAAAGCTCTATTTTTGTCTCATCAGACCACATGACCTTCTCCCATTCCTCCTCTGGATCATCCAGATGGTCATTGGCAAACTTCAGACGGGCCTGGACATGCGCTGGCTTGAGCAGGGGGACCTTGCGTGCGCTGCAGGATTTTAATCCATGACGGTGTAGTGTGTTACTAATGGTTTTCTTTGAGACTGTGGTCCCAGCTCTCTTCAGGTCATTGACCAGGTCCTGCCGTGTAGTTCTGGGCTGATCCCTCACCTTCCTCATGATCATTGATGCCCCACGAGGTGAGATCTTGCATGGAGCCCCAGACCGAGGGTGATTGACCGTCATCTTGAACTTCTTCCATTTTCTAATAATTGCGCCAACAGTTGTTGCCTTCTCACCAAGCTGCTTGCCTATTGTACTGTAGCCCATCCCAGCCTTGTGCAGGTCTACAATTTTAACCCTGATGTCCTTACACAGCTCTCTGGTCTTGGCCATTGTGGAGAGGTTGGAGTCTGTTTGATTGAGTGTGTGGACAGGTGTCTTTTATACAGGTAACGAGTTCAAACAGGTGCAGTTAATACAGGTAATGAGTGGAGAACAGGAGGGCTTCTTAAAGAAAAACTAACAGGTCTGTGAGAGCCGGAATTCTTACTGGTTGGTAGGTGATCAAATACTTATGTAATGCAATAAAATGCAAATTAATTACTTAAAAATGTGATTTTCTGGATTTTTGTTTTAGATTCCGTCTTTCACAGTTGAAGTGTACCTATGATAAAAATTACAGACCTCTACATGCTTTGTAAGTAGGAAAACCTGCAAAATTGGCAGTGTATCAAATACTTGTTCTCCCCACTGTAACAATTCACCCCCCCAAAGTCAATACTTTGTAGAGCCACCTTTTGCAGCAATTACATCTGAAAGTCTCTTGGGGTATGTCTCTATAAGCTTGGCACATCTAGCCACTGGGATTTTTGCCCATTCTTCAAGGCAAAACTGCTCCGGCTCCTTCAAGTTGGATGGGTTCCTCTGGTGTACAGCAATCTTTAAGTCATACCACAGATTCTCAATTGGATTGATGTCTGGGCTTTGACTAGGCCATTCCAAGACATATAAATGTTTCCCCTTAAACCACTCAAGTGTTGCTTTAGTAGTATGCTTAGGGTCATTGTCCTGCTGGAAGGTGAACCTCGGTCCCAGTCTCAAATCTCTGGAAGACTGAAACAGGTTTCCCTCAAGAATTTCCCTGTATTTAGCGCCATCCATCATTTCTTCAATTCTGACCAGTTTCCCAGTCCCTGCCGATGAAAAACATCCCCACAGCATGATGCTACCACCACCATGCTTCACTGTGGGGATGGTGTTCTTGGGGTGATGAGAGGTGTTGGGTTTGCGCCAGACATAGCGTTTTCCTTGATGGCCAAAAAGCTCAAATTTAGTCTAATCTGACCAGAGTACCTTCTTCCATATGTTTGGGGAGTCTCCCACATGCCTTTTTGCGAACACCAAACGTCTGCTTATTTTTTTCTTTAAGCAATGGCTTTTTCTGGCCACTCTTCCATAAAGCCCAGCTCTGTGGAGTATATGGCTTAAAGTGGTCCTATGGACAGATACTCCAATCTCCGCTGTGGAGCTTTGCAGCTCCTTCAGGGTTAACTTTGGTCTCTTTGTTGCCTCTCTGATTAATGCCCTCCTTGCCTGGTCCGTGAGTTTTGGTGGGCGGCCCTCTCTTGGCAGGTTTGTTGTGGTGCCATATTCTTTCCATTTTTTAATAATGGATTGAATGGTGCTCCGTGGGATGTTCAAAGTTTCCGATATTTTTTTATAACCCAAACCTGATCTGTACTTCTCCACAACTTTGTCCCTGACCTGTTTGGAGAGCTCCTTGGTCCTCATGGTGCCGCTTGCTTGGTGGTGCCCCTTGCTTAGTGGTGTGGCAGACTCTGGGGCCTTTCAGAACAGGTGTATATATGCTGAGATCATGTGACAGATCATGTGACACTTAGATTGCACACAGGTGGACTTTATTTAACTAATTATGTGACTTCTGAAGGTAATTGGTTGCACCAGATCTTATTTAGGGGCTTCATAGCAAAGGGGGTGAATACATATGCACGCACCAGTTTTCCGTTATTTATTTTTTAGAATTCTTCCAAATTTTCATTTCACTTCACCAATTTGGACTATTTTGTGTATGTCCATTACATGGAATCCAAATAAAAATCCATTTAAATTACAGGTTGTAATGCAACAAAATAGGAAAAACGCCAAGGGGGATGAATACTTTTGCAAGGCACAGTATCCATTTCCCCCCTCCTTTTTATACGTATCGTGGAGAGATGTAGTTTTAGGGAGCGGTAGGATGTTTGATAAAGGTTGTTTGGCCACTAGAATTCAGCCTGAAAACAAAATGGAGGACAGCGAAGCATTCCATCCACGTTAGAGGTTAAAAGCAGCAGGACACGATAAATGGTAAGAGAAGGTAGTTGGCTGCGGAGGTGATGATGGTCACAGGTTTTAACTGATGTTCTGATATATTGTTTGTCTACTTCCTGTTTACTACAGGAAATGGTCATCGGAGGGCTCCAGTCGGACACCACCTACTCCATCACAGTAGCTGCGTACACCACAAAGGGAGACGGGGCACGCAGCAAATCCAAACTTGTGGTAACCAAAGGAGCAGGTCAGTCTTTCATTTTATTACAGTTTATTACAATGCCTTTTGACAAGTATTACAATGTGTTAGTACCGTATCATAATACATTACAACTGCAGGCTTTAAGTAAATTGTTACCTTCCCTATATTGGAAAGAAAACTACCATTCCAATATTTATTGATGAAACGGTTGTGGGTTTATAAAAATGAAATAAAAACTCCTTTTGAAAGACAGAGACCATCCTATTTTGATTCAACCTGTTTGTTGTTGTGTTGCCGCTTGAGAGGAAGTTTGGATGTTTGGAATTGGATAGGGCCCTGAAGATAATCTATAAATGTTCAGCAAACTATCCACAGACGGAATGGCGGATGACATGAGATAGTAGTAAACATAGTTTTTGGCAGATTTTGTTCTTCCGTTGCCCTCCAGGCCCGGGGCTTGTGGATTACTGCTGGAGGCCTTATTCAAACATCAGAATCTCTCTTTCTTTCGTTCTTTCGTTCTTTCTTCTTTTCTTCGTCTTTCGTTCTTTCGTTCTTTCTTTCTTTCTTTCTTTCTTTCTTTCTTTTTGCTTTCTTTCTTCTTTCTTCTTTCTTTCTTTCTTTTTCTTTCTTTATTTCTTTCTTTCTTCTTTCTTTCTTTCTTTTCTTTCTTCTTTCTAATGCTACACTCAGACTTCAGAGTCTCTCTCCCTCTTTTCCTTTCTCTTAAACACCAGTCTCCAAGCCAACGTTAACCCGGGCACTTGAGCCTCATTAGAAAGTGAAGGCTTAGCTACCGTGAACACGGCCTATTCCTGCAAGACTGGAGAGCCGTGAAAGCACTCTTTGAGCAAATACGGTTCCGTCAGGGCTAAGATATGTATCCACGCCAGTCCGCTTCAGACATCCAATAAAAACTCACTGGAAAGAAGACACACAAACTATCTCTCTCTCACACACACACACACACACACACCTCTTTTGACAGGACCTGATCTTGACAGGTGTGCCTATCACCGGTGTCAGGCAGCATGACGGGCAGCAAAGGTCCCTGGTACTGTCACTTCTCTCTCCCTTGTCGGCCGGCGCTGACTGATACGGCAGTCTCTCTCACTCCATCCATCCCTCCCTTAAAGCCAATCCCCATTTCGTTTTTCATTACTGAAATGCGGAAAAGGGACCAAAATAAATGAATAAATAAGCGTGAGGCAGACAGAAAGAGACGAAGAGAAACCTTCGGAGGTAAAAAATACTTCCAACTCCCCTTTCATGTGACAGTGGAGCTACCAGCTTCCAGTTCTGCCATGGGGCTCAGTCAAATCGTGGCCGAGACGGTTGCCATGGTTCTCCCAGGCCCGTTTCAGGGAGACATTGTGCTGTCAGACAAGTTAAGCCCCTGCCTTGTGCTATTGATAAGGCAAAGGCACAGATGGGAAGGAGGGCCCTTTCAAGAGTTTACACACACACACACACACACAAACACACACACACACACACATAGACTGTTTTTGTATCTTTCAGAAGGGCAACCAGACTTTTAAGAGAGAAAAATAAAGAAATGCCAAGTTGTTGGAAGTATGGCTATGTCAAACTCTTAAGTCTTTGTTCAATAGATAATGCCTCAACCTAAAACATTGTGAAAATCGAGGATAGATTAATTTCATCCAACTCAAAGTGGTCGGTCGATGTCACGATTAATTACTTTCCATGTAACAGCCAGCTACTTTTGATGTAGGTGTTGGAGTCTAGGTTTGACGCAGTCTTCACAGTCTTTGTGCATTATTTAGCTTCCATTGTGTTTCAATGTGTTCATTATTTACTTAGTAATAACAATTCGATTCCTAGAACTTGGTGTTGTTTGACGTCACCGTTGCATATTCAAATCGCCTTCGGGCTTTAGAATATTCCAGTCCCTAGCTATTCAGAACAACTAACTATTCCTAACACAGAAGGACAGTCCATTAACTCCATTAACATTCCAGGCCACCAAAGGCCACTTCTTCTCCCGCTCTAATAGTCAGAAATTCTCATTAGTCCTCATCCCTCCATCTTTCCTCCTCCTCCTCTGCATCCTCCCACCCCTCCCAATTCTCCCGGGAGGTGAGCAGATTGCATGTTGGCGCTGTATAGCGAAGCCGAGAATACTCTGGGAATACACCGGAATACTCTGGGAAGAAACCATCTGGACGCCACTAGACCCCACAGACCCCCTGGCTATCCCTTCTCCTATTTGGTTACATAGCACTGGTGGGTGGCGGGGCCAATAAGCTTGAAGCATATTTATGACTTCAACTGTCCTTATTTCTTCTGTGTTTTTATAAGAAATAGAAATAGTCCTTAAAGGGGAAACACTAGGATTTAGAACGCCTGCTAACTGTAACTGTAAATTGCCATATTGGCATTGTTGCATCACTGGCAGGAGAGAAGATTTTGGAACTACCAAAAATGGCTGAATTTACCAAGAGTAGCTCCGAGTCTGAGAATGAGTTTATAACAGAGGATGAAATAACGTTAGTTAGGGAGCCAATAAACCTACTGAAGTCGTTCATGTTTGAGCCGATCGTTTCCCCAGATCAAAGAGTTCGTTGTCGTACCAGAAATAGTCCTTAAAATAGACGTTAAGTTAAAGCTGGAATCCTTAATGGTGAAACTGCCACGTCCATTTGGGATATTACAACAACAAAGAAGTTACTGCAAACAATGAACCCTGTTTTTTTTTCCTCAGACATCATTGCACGTGTGATAGATGAACATGAATATGGGAGGGAAATGGGTTATGAAAGACCTTTGCTGTCAAAATAGCTGTGCATCTCTCAGCATGGCCGAGGTGATTTTTCATCACCACAGCTAAATTAGGTATATGTGGGGAGGCATTTTCAATTATGTTTGCCCTCCATCGCTGGTCCGCTCGTGCCCCGTTTGCCGCCAATATCAATTGCGTGCGAAAATCACTTATGAAGTGCCTTAGACAGCGACCCGCAGGCCTGTACAGTGCAGTAGAGTAAGGTGGACCCACGACCGCTGATATATCTTCCTGGAAGTTGTAACCGCAGGTTAATCGCTAACATGGTTGAAGGTATTTTTTTTTAAACATCTCGCTTGGCACACACACACACACTATTATACACACACACACACTATTATACAAACTCGTACATCAGCGGAGGCTGGTGGGAGGAGCTATAGGAGGACGGGCTCATTGTAATGACTGGAATAGGAATCAATGAAACGGTATCAAACACATCAAACATATGGAAACTACATGTCTGACTCCGTTCCATTCATGCCCATTCCAGCCATTACAATGAGCCCGTCCTCCTATAGCTCCTCCCACCAGCCTCCACTGACATACATACGTTCAGAGAGAGAGAAGGGAAGAGCCGTCTGAGCAGACGGTACCCGCGTCGCAGCCCTTAGACGGAGAGAGATTTAAGAGAGAACGTATGTCCTTCTCCGAGACCCCCGCTATGTTATGTACTGCTTGCCGAGAGGCCACCTCTGAGTGAGGAGCCTATCTTCCCTTCATCGGTGTGTTGTTTGCTTTTGGCCACGGGGTATTCCTTTTCCTTTGTGTATCTGGTATTGTCGCATTTTGCACCGCCAGGATCCAGACCCCGACCCAGACGAGACCCAGACAGCAGCAGAGCGAGCGCGAGAGAGCCCCAGAGGTTGCGTATTTTGCCGCGATGTGAGCGCAGAGAGTGAGATTGGTGACTGAAGGCACCGACTGGAGATGAGAGAGAGAGTAGGTAGAGCGGAACTTTGTAGTGAGGAGAGAGAGGGATGCAGGGGATGTGGTAGAGTAGAAGACGAGAGATGAGAGATCTCATCGAAGGGAGTACGCGTTAACACCGCGCGCCACTCCTCCATGCCCGTTGCAATCGGCCCGTCCCCCTCTTTGACGGACAGATTGGACTTCTGTTACCGTCACCTTCTCATCATGAGGGGGAGGACTGTTATTATCACACCTCTTCCTCCCTCCTTCTCCTCTTCCTCTCTCCATCCTCCAGTTTTGCCTTAGCACCAATCAGCTTGCTCAGTTAACACCCCACTACCCTACTCTCATTTTCAGTAGTCCCTGGAGTATTACCATTGATGAAATTTTACTACAACCTCAGGCTCTGCTTACTCTCGGCTCTCTCATGGGCTTTCTAAGCAGTAGACGTGAGGGGAGGGAGAGTCAAGTTTAAACAAGACAGGCTAGTTGCGGGGCTAGCTACGTTTGTTAGCGGGGAGAATGGAACACATTATTCACTGCTATTTGGAGGTGATGCTGTTTTTCCATCCTGCTCCAACTCCATCCCCCTGCAAAAAGTTAAAAGAGGACATAAGGAAAGGAGTGGAGGAACAAGAAGGCAAAGGGGATGGCTATAAGGGGGAGGGAGAGTAGTGAGTGGGAGGGTAGATGGGTAGAGTAGGCAGTATGTATAGTAGTAGGTAGTGGAGTAGTAGGTAGTATAGTAGTGGGTAGTAGTATACGTAGTGGGGTAGTATAGTAGTTGTGGTAGTATAGTAGTGGGGGTCTAGTAGGAGTAGGGGGTTAGTATAGGAGTGGGGTAGTAGACGTAGTGGGGTTAGTACTAGTTTAGTGGGGGGGTAGTGGGATGTGGAGTAGTATAGTAGTGGAAGTAGTATAGTATAGTAGTAGGGTAGTGGAGTAGTAGGGTAGTATAGTAGTGGAGGTAGTCTAGTAGCTGGAGTAGTATAGTAGTGGGGGGTGGTTAGATTCGTAGTGGGGTAGTATAGTGTAGTGGGGTAGGGGGGGTTAGTAGGTAGTATAGTAGTTGGTGGTAGTATAGTAGTGGGGTATCAGTATAGTAGTGGGCGGTAGGAGAGTTAGTAGAGGAGGGGGTAGTAGAGTTAGTGGCGGTAGTTATAGTAGTGGGTTGGTAGTAGAGTCGTGGGGGTAGTAGAGGTAGGAGAGGTTAGGTGGGGTTAGTAGAGTCGGGGGGTGGTAGAGATAGTAGGGTAGTGGAGGTAGGATGAGTAGTTTTTTGGGGTTAGTATTCTAGTAGTATAGTAGTGGGGTAGTATAGTAGTGGGGTAGTATAGTAGTATAGTAGTGGGGTAGTATAGTAGTGGGGTGTATCGTAGCTAGGGTTAGTATAGTAGGTGGGTGGGGTAGTAGAGTCGTGGGGTAGTAGAGTAGTGGGGTAGTATAGTAGTGGGGTAGTATAGTAGTATAGTAGTGGGGTAGTAGAGTAGTGGGGTAGTAGAGTAGTGGGGGTAGATAGTGTGGGGTAGTAGTAGTGGGGTAGGGGGTGGTATAGTTATAGTAGGTGGGGTGGTCTTAGTTAGGTAGTGGGGGTAGTGAGTAGCTGGGGTAGTAGAGGTGTGGGGGTAGTATAGGTTAGTGGGGGTCTAGTATAGTAGAGTAGAGTCGTGGGGTATAGTAGAGTAGTGGGTAGTATATATGGTAGGATGGGTAGTATGGTAGTGGGGTAGTATAGTAGTGGGGTAGTATAGTAGTGGGGTAGTAGAGTAGTGGGGTAGTAGAGTAGTGGGGTAGTATAGTAGTGGGTAGTTAGTAGTGGGGGTAGTATAGTTAGTGGGGTACGCCGGGGCGTAGTATAGAGTGGTGGACGTATAGTAAGGGGGTAGTAGAGTAGTGGGGGGTAGTGGGGTAGTAGGGTAGTATAGTAGTGGGGTAGTATAGTAGTGGGGTAGTATAGTAGTGGGGGTCGTAGAAGTAGTGGGGTAGATAGTAGTAGAGTGTAGAGTAGTGGAGTAGTCTATAGTGGGGTAGTAGAGTGGGTGGGGGTAGTAGAGTAGGGGGGGTAGTAGAGTAGTGGGGTAGTATAGTAGTAGAGTAGTGGGGTAGTAGAGTAGTGGGGTAGTATAGTAGTAGAGTAGTGGGGTAGTAGAGTAGTGGGGTAGTATAGTAGTAGAGTAGTAGGGTAGTAGAGTAGTGGGGTAGTATAGTAGTGGGGTAGTATAGTAGTGGGGTAGTAGAAGTCGTGGGGTAGTATAGTAGTAGCGTAAGTGGGTAGAGTATAGTAGTAGAAGTTAGTGGGGGTGTAGGGTGTCGAGTAGTGGGGAGTTATCGTAGTAGAGTAGGTGGGGTTAGTATAGTATGTAGAGTAGTGGGGGTAGTAGAGTAGTGGGGGGTAGTATAGTAGTAGAGTAGTGGGGTAGTAGAGTAGTGGGGTAGTATAGTAGTAGAGTAGTGGGGTAGTAGAGTAGTGGGTAAGTATAGTAGTAGAGTAGTGGGGTAGTAGAGTAGTGGGGTAGTATAGTAGTAGAGTAGTAGGGTAGTAGAGTAGTGGGTAGTATAGTTGTGGGGTAGTATAGTAGTGGGGTAGTAGATAGTGGGGTAGTAGCGTAGTGGGGTAGTAAGGAGGAGTAGAGTAGTGGGGGGTAGTATAGTCGTGGGGTCGTATATCGTAGAGGTCGTGGGGTGTATGTAGAGTAGTGGGTAGTATAGTCGTGGGGTAGTATGTAGTGGCACACGGTAGTAGAGTAGTGGGGTTAGTAGGTAGTGGGGGTTTGTAAGTAGGGGGTAGTATAGTAGTGGGGTCGTTTTAGTAGTGGTGTAAGTGGGGTAGTATTTAGTGTATAGTAGTGGGGTAGTATAGTAGTGGGGTAGTAGAGTAGTGGGGTAGTGGGGTAGTATAGTAGTGGGGTAGTAGAGTAGTGGGGTAGTGGGGTAGTAGAGTAGTGGGGTAGTATAGTAGTGGGGTAGTAGAGTAGTGGAGTAGTATAGTAGTGGGGGGTGGGAGTGGTAGTAGAGTAGTGGGGTTAAGGGGGTGGGGGTGGTAGTATAGTAGGGGGTAGTGGAGGTGTATAGTAGTAGTAGTGCGGTAGTAGAGTAGTGGGGTAGTAAGTAGCTAGAGTAAGGTAGTGGGGTAGTATAGTGTAGAGTAGTGTTTGGGTAGTTAGAGTAGTGGGGGTAGTGGGGTAGTATAGTAGTGGGGTAGTAGAGTAGTATAGTAGTGGGGTAGTATAGTAGTAGAGTAGTGGGTTAGTATAGTAGTGGGGTAGTGGGGTAGTAGAGTAGTGGGGTAGTGGGGTAGTGGGGTAGTATAGTAGTGGGGTAGTGGGGTAGTATAGTAGTAGAGTAGTGGGGTAGTAGAGTAGTGGGGTAGTATAGTAGTAGAGTTAGTGGGGGGTAGCAGAAGAGTAGGGGGTAGTGGGGGGGTAGGTGGTTGGGGGTAAGGGTAGTAGTTAGAGTATGGGGGTCGCAGAGTAGTGGGGTAGTGGGGTAGTATAGTAGTAGAGTAGTGGGGTAGTGGGGTAGTATAGTAGTAGAGTAGTGGGGTAGTAGAGTAGTGGAGTAGTATAGTAGTGGGGTAGTATAGTAGTGGAGAGTATAGTAATGGGTCGTATAGTAGTGGGAGTATGCTATAGTAATGGTGGCTAGTTTAGAGTGGGGTAGTGGGGTTAGGGGTAGTGAGTAGTGGGGTAGTGGGGTAGTTAGTATAGTAGTTGGAGTAAGTAGTTCTAGTAATGAGGGGGTAGTTACTAGTGTGTGGTGTTTGGTAGTGGGGTAGTGAGGGGTATAGAGTAGTAGGGTTGTAGGTAGTGGGGTTAGTGGGGGGTAGTTATAGTAGTAGAGTGGTGGGAGTATAGTGAGTAGAGTAGGAGTGGGGTAGTATCGTTAGTAGAGTAGTGGGGTAGTAGAGTAGTGGGGTAGTAGAGTAGTGGGGTAGTGGGGTAGTATAGTAGTAGAGTAGTGGGGTAGTATAGTACTGGAGTAGTATAGTAGTGGGGTAGTATAGTTTTGGAGTATTATAGTAGTGGAGTAGTGGAGTAGTTGAGTAGTATAGTAGTGGAGTAGGTGGGTATTGGAATAATGGAGTAGTATAGTAGTAGAGTAGTGGATTAGTGGGGCCTTATAGTGGTGGAGTATTGAAGTAGTATAGTAATGGAGTATTATAGTAGTGGAGTAGTATAGTTGTGGAGTAGTGGATTAGTGGGTTATTGAAGTAGTATAGTAGTGGAGTAGTGAAGTAGTATAGTGGCGTAGTATAGTAGTATAGTATTGGAGTAGTGGAGGTAGTATAGTAGTGGAGTAGTATAGTAGTGGAGTAGTGGAGTAGTATAGTAGTGGAGTAGTATAGTAGTGGACTAGTGAGTTAGTATTATGGTGGAGTAGTATAGAAATGGAGTAGTAGAGTAGTATAGTAGTGGAGTAGTATAGTAGTGGAATAGTATAGTAGTGGAGTAGTTTAGTAGTGGAATACTATAGTAGTGGAGTAGTTTAGTAGTGGAGAGTAGTGGGCTAATAGGGTAGGTGTGTGCTACGAAGTGGCTAAGAGTGTGTGTACAAAAGTGCACACATTTGTATCTGCAGAAATCCACACACACACACCTTGAAATACACTCACACACTCACTGTAGGGTTGGTGACACTGTAGGGTTGGTGACACTGTAGGGTTGGTGACACTGTAGGGTTGGTGACACTGTAGGGTTATTGACACTGTAGTGTTGGTGTCAATTCCCATTTGTACTCACTACTCAGTCAATGCCGAAATTAATTTAATATCAATTCATGAATAGGAGAAATAGGTAATTATTTGTTCTGACAGGACCTTTGAACCTGGAATTGTATTTTCTGAATTGACTTGAGTCAAGATAAAAAGACAGAAAGATAAGAGTAAGTCTGCTTGTCTAACATTATGCCGTTGACGGTATAACCCAATCACCGAAAATATTGGTTTTAGTAGTCTCAGTTTATACTGACTCCGTCGTTGCCTACCCCTTTGTCCAGGTCTGTTAAAAAAAAAGTTTTCACCCCAATAAAAGGCGCATTCCTCTCTATAGTGAAGAAAAGTATTTTATCCTATACAGAACATACGCATTGGTCCTCCCGAGAAGCCTTCATATTTTCCACAATGGGAGCATTGTAGAGTTCCAGCACAGTCTGTTATTACTTATTGACGTACCTAGATGTACAAACCACAAACCGTGCTCTCTCTTCAAAAACACACCTTGTTTAACCTTTTAGTAAAAAAACATAGATGAATAAAAGTTTTGTTTGTTTTTGCTTTCTCCACAGTGCCCGGGCCACCCTATCTGTCAGTGGCTCAGGATTCAGAGACGTCGGCTGTGGTGTGCTGGGACACACCCGATGTTATGATCCCTGGCATGGAACTGCAGGGTTACCGGCTTCAGTTTGGCCGTAAGGACGTGTCCCCCCTGGCTACTCTGGAGTTCACCCCCCAGGAGAGGAAGTACACGGTGGCTAGTGTCCACCGCGGCGCCACCTACCTCTTCAAAGTACAGGCCAAGAGTCGGGGGGGCTTCGGGGAGGAGGCGACAGCCGAACTGCAGGTGCCCGAACACACACCCCAGGGGTACCCCCAAATCAGCGAAAGCTCCAATGTGACCTGCTGCTCGGTGGAATTGGCATGGTCGCCCCCGGTGCTGGCAGAGCGCAATGGAGACATCACGGAGTACACGCTAGCATACCAGGAGACGGGTGTGGGGGGCACGCCCCGGGAACTCAGCCTGCCCGCCAGCCAGTCCACCTACGTGCTCAACAGCCTCAAAACCCAACTCGGCGTACGACGTGAAAATCCGCGCGCACACGAGTGTAGGTCCAGGGCCCTACAGCCCGCCGATCCAGTATCGGACTGTGGCGTTTGAGACAGGTAGGTCTTGCCTGTTTCTCTCCCGACCCGAGGGGAAAAACAAACAAAAATAACAACAAGCGACAACACAACTCCCCCTCCAACCACCTTCACTTCTTCTCCACTACAAAAATCCTAGAACCTAAAAAAGTTTGCGGGGAACACTCACTTCACTAACCCAAAGGTAAAACCAGTCAGTAAGATACAGTCAGTCAGTTTGAAAAAGAGGAGGAGCTGCTGCGTTCAAGGTAAGTGCCGGTTGGTCAGACAGCTTGTCAGTCTCAAGGTAAGTGCTGGTTGGTCAGACAGCTTGTCAGTCTCCTTGCTGCCCTTTGCAGCCAAGCACACTCACACAGCTAATGCAGCCTGACACTCACACACACACACAGTTTGCACAAGAAAAAGAAGCCGGACCTCTGTGTTTAAGTCACTCAAATAGTTTGTTTTTAGTCCATTTAGGTTAGCAAGAGCAAGATTTTGGTTCTTTATTTTCTTTGGTTTTCAGTTTGTTTTGAGTCCCCCCTCCCCTCCTAATCTGTTCCCTCCCCCTGTCACATTATGGGATGGGGGTGCAGCATGGCATCCCCCTGATGCACTGCTAATGACTGTGGGCATGCTGTGTTTGGGTCTGTCTTTGTGCCCGCCGGGCAGCATGTCGTGAGCAGTGCCAACCCAGGCTCAGAGTGCCAAGGAGTCGGTTGCCGCCAGAACCACAAGGGTCAACGACTCCTGGGTTTCACTGGGATGGGGTAGTGTCTTGTGGAAAGATGTGTTGGCCAGACAGCGGGCATGTCCGTGCTCCATGAGTCCGTCCATGCGCCATGGGTCTCCCGTGCTGTGTGTCTAACCAATAGCGTTGCCCCCTTCACAGCCTATCACAGCACAGCTCACCGCCCGCTCACTACTCCAACCCAGAGGAAGGAAAACAACAAAAATGACCTACTCTTTTTTCTCTAATCTCTCTCTCTCTCCTTTCTGACTTCCCCAGCTATCCAAACTAAACACAGCCTCTCTGTTTTTGTTCTGTTCGTTCTTCTTCTGTCTGTTCTCCCTCCCAACAGACGTCCCAAAGAACTTCACGGTCAAGTGGGTAACCAAGACGACGGTGTTGCTAACATGGACGTTTGTAGAAAGGCGGTTCCCATTCCGGTGCACGGTGAGAGACAGGCAGACAGACAAATTGACACACACACATGCACATGTAGAGGGCTCCTGCTCTTTGAATAAATATTTGAATAATTATGTTACTGACAGAAATTGTGATTTAATTCGAAGTTCAAACTATGCAGTCTTGCAGAGAACAAATTATAGTTTATTAACCCTTTTCAGAGTCCACAAACGTGTATGCACAGCCGTGTTCTAGAATATTGGACCGTTGGCTTTCATACTTTTCAAATTCTCAGTGCTCCAACCGTCACCCCATTCAAATGAATAGAAGACGCGAACGCGGGCCGCGCTATTTGGGAATTTGGGGCTGTGTCGTCCCCCACAGATGGTGATCTCAGAGCCGCGTAGCTATGTCACAATGGGGCGCCGGACTATCGCGTCTCTGCATCTGTGGACACTGAATTATGCTTTACAGGGAAAAAGCTACAGAAACCCAGGCATTCATACACATGCCATCTTGGACAACACTATTTCCAAAGAATAACTCCTACAGACTCATTTTACATTTCACATGCTTTAAGCCAGCGGTTTTACCCAGCGCTGAGACAGACGGAGACTACTCCACTACTCCACCACTACAGAGACAGATGGAGAACTTTCCTAATGTGTATTTTTGTATTTTTTGTGCATCTCCATTTGTTTGTCTGTCTTTCTATCCATCCCCCGGTCCAGATCGAGTACAACCGTCAGAAGATGGACGTGGACGCCAGGCTGACCAAGGCGCTGGTCACCAGCCTGCGGCCCAACACCACCTATGAGTTCCGGGTCACGTGTCAGGAGAACACGGAGAGTGGACCTCGACACCGTGTGGTTGCTAGGACCGCACCACCCATCCTGGTCAAGAAGCCCAAGCTGGACCTCTACTCGGAGCCGGACAACATTCTGACCATGGGCTTCGACCCTGTGGAGAGCAAGGGCATCAAGTGAGAGAAATGGAAACATGGGTTTCTGCCAGTTTATCTGATTCTTCCTTTCTTTCTTTCTTTCTTTCTTTCTTTGTTTCTTTGTTTCTTTCTTTCTTTCTTTCTGTCTGTCTGTCTGTCTGTCTGTCTGTCTGTCTGTCTGTCTGTCTGTCTGTCTCTGTATCTCTGTCTGTCTCTGTATCTCTCTATCTCTCTGTCTCTCTCTTACTGTAGCTGTCTTTCTCTCTCTCTCTCTCTCTGTCTCTCTCTCTCTCTCTCTCTCACTGTAGCTGTCTCTCTCTCTCTCTCTCTCTCTCTCTCTCTCTCTCTCTCTTATTGTAGCTGTTTTTCTGTCTCTCTCTCTTAAACTCCCACACTCTTCCACATAGCACACATTACAACTTACTCTCTTGCCCTCTCTCTTGCCAACCTTCTGTCCTTCTCTCTATTTCCTGCTCTCACTCCGGTGTTCCATTATTAATCTGCTCTCTCTCATTATTTTTACTGTCACTTACTCACCATCTCTCTCTCTCACACACACACACACACACACACTTTCAGGCTAAACCCAACCTAGCCCATTAGTCCCTGTACTGTAAGTTAATGTTATGGTTCTCTGAGGATGTTGATGGTAGTGATGTCTGTGTGTGTTGCAGGGATTTCTATGTGGTGGCGGTACCACTAAAGAAGGGTTTGGGGACTGGACGCCATCTCAAGAACCCAGACGAAATGGACTTGGAAGAGGTAAGAACCAAGAAATGACTCCCATTCAAGCGTGGCCTGCGATAGATTAGCTTCCTGTCCAGGGGCTGTACTTGTACATCAAGCTGCCTCATGCTACAATGCATCTGAACACAACGTTATTAGCGTCAAGGGAATTGTTAGCTACCGATACAAAGACCACAAAACAACACATTGCACGCCCACATGTATGTCTGTCCAAGTGTGTCGTATGCCACGGAGATGTTAATAGCAACTTCAGAGGGGTCCCGTAGTTTTCCTCAAGCGTGTTCCCTCCATCCCCTCCTCCTTCCCGCCTGGAGAGAAGGGAGTCACACGCATGCTCCCACCCTTCCTCGGTTGCTAGGGGTGACCTTGAGCTGTGATCAGTGGCGAGCTGTTATAGTTTGAATTACCCATATTCCACCTCTTCAGCGAAGTTCTTCCTATTCTGTTGTAAATGAATGGAGAAGCCTGGTCTGCCAGGGCCTGATGCCAACAAGCAGCCTATTGACTTTAAGGCGTAAGGGGATCGACCTGCAAAACCCCATCCAGGAAGTTTTCGGCTGACGTTTAGATTTCTTTCACAAACTATCTCCATTGATTTGTTGGGTGGTTGAACGTTCTTCGTCTTCACACACTGCCAATAGGAATGATAAATTGATGGGTAGACAGATAGGTGGAGGAATAGATACAGATAGGTGGGGCGGGCAGGCGGGCTGGCAGACTAATGGTACTGTTGATGGATACAGTGGGTCCACCAACTCTTCCCATTTTCAACGTTGTAAGACAATATGCGTTAAGATTCTCTGTCAACTTGGTCAAATAGAGATGAGCACATTAATATCTAGAGAGATGGATAGACAGACACTCAAACAGACAGACACTCAAACAGACAGACACTCAAACAGACAGACACTCAAACAGACAGACACTCAGACAGACAGACAGACAGACAGACAGACAGACAGACAGACAGACAGACAGACAGACAGACAGACAGACAGACAGACAGACAGACAGACAGACAGACAGACAGACAGACAGACAGACAGACAGACAGACAGACAGACAGACAGACAGACAGACATTCAGATAGTCAGACATTCAGATAGACATACAGACATTAAATCAGACACACAGACAGACAGACATTCAGACAGACATTCAGACAGACAGACAGACATTCAGACAGACATTCAGACATTCAGACAGACATTCAGACATTCAGACAGACAGACAGACATTCAGACAGTCAGACAGACAAACCAACAAACCAAGATAAAGCTCCGCTAAGAACGCAGATCCTCTCACACTCCTCACCCCTCTCTCCATCCCTCCTTCACCTCACCCCTCTCTCCCTGTCTCCTTCAGCTGCTGAGGGACATCACCCCGAAGCGTCGCACCAGGCGCCAGCTGAGCCAAGCGGACGGCAAGAAGCCCTACATCACGGCCTGCTTCAAGCAGCTCCCCACCACCTTCACCCTGGGCACAGAGCACCGCCACAGCAGCTGTGAGAGCAAACCTCTGGAGCCCGGGCAGGAATACGTCTTCTTCCTGCTGGCCGAGCTCAACACCACCGCCGGGGTGAGTACCAGTGATGATAGGCACACGCACATATGTGTGTACTCATACACGTGCACATGCACACTCAGACACACCCCTGCACACTCAGACATACACCAGATCCATATACTGTACAGTAAGGAGATAACTCTGGTCATCATACCAGATGTGTGAGTAAGTTTATGAAAGGTATGTTTATATGTTATGCATAGGTAAACTACTTCTAAGTTGAATTGCATTGAGCTCTTGTCTGTAATTGATATCTCTCTATTTGTTAGTATTTCTCAGTTCAGTTGTATTGACCCTTCTGTCTATCTCTCTCTCTGTCTAGAAAATGTTTGCGGCCAGCCCATACACGGACTCAGTGGTGACCCCAGAGCTGGAGGTGGATCCTCTGCCCATGGAGACGGGTGGGGACGGCCTCATCTGGGTGGTGGGGCCCGTCCTGGCCGTGGTCTTCATCATCTGCATCGTCATCGCCATCCTCCTCTACAAGAAGTGAGTTACGTTGTAGGGGATTCTGGGGGATGTAGGCTAAAAGGGATTGTCTGTTCTGTATGTTGGGGGAGGGGGAGGTTATTTTTAGGTGGGGGGGGGGGGTTGACTTTCTTTAAAACTGTTACAAATGTTACTGTATGAGAAATGTGAATGAAAGGAAGGTTGGTAAGGAGGACACAAAAAGGGACTGGAGGAAAGGAGACTTGGAGGAAAGGAGACTTGGAGTAAAGGAGACGAGGAGGAAAGGAGACTTGGAGGAAAGGAGACTTGGAGTAAAGGAGCCGAGGAGGAAAGGAGACTTGGAGGAAAGGAGACTTGGAGGAAAGGAGACTTGGAGGAGTTAGTGAAAGAGCTAAAACCAGGGAAATATCCATGATGACATCTTTACATAAAGGGGAGATATCTAAAGCCTTGTTTTAACTTTAAAATAAATTACATCTAAAGTATTTCCATGTGTTTTGGGGCTGGAGCAAACAAACAGTTAAAGTGTATCTGCTTCTGTTTTAACAGAGAGAGAGAGCCCCAGTAGTGTACAATAACTATGTGCTGGGTGACTGAAGTCATGTAGAATAAGTAGGCCAACGTGTAGAGTAGAAGAAACAGGGCCTAGCTGACCTCAACTTATAGCTCTTAGTGGTTAGGGAGAGTAACATCCCTCCCTGGATCTCTCACTCTCTCCTCTCTCTCTCCTTCTTTCCCACTCTCTCCTCTCTCTCTCTCTCTCCTGCTTTCCCACTCTCTCCTCTCTCTCTCCTGCTTTCCCACTCTCTCCTCTCTCTCTCTCTCCTGCTTTCCCACTCTCTCCTCTCTCTCTCTCTCCTGCTTTCCCACTCTCTCCTCTCTGTCTCTCCTGATTTCCCACTCTCTCCTCTCTCTCCTCCTGCTTTCCCACTCTCTCTCCTCTCTCTCTCCTCCTGCTTTTCCCACACTCTCCTCTCTCTCTCTCCTGCTTTCCCACCTCTCCTCTCTCTCTCTCTCTCTCTCTCCTGCTTTCCCACTCTCTCCTCTCTCTCTCTCTCCTGCTTTCCCACTCTCTCTCTCTCTCCTCTTCCACTCTCTCTCTCCTCTCTCTCCTCTTTCCCCGCCTCTCTCTCTCTCTCCCTGCTTTCCCCACTCTCTCCTCTCTCTCTCTCTCCTGCTTTCCCACTCTCCTCTCTCCTCTCTCTCTCTCTCTCTCTCTCTCCTGCTTTCCCACTCTCTCCTCTCATTTTACATTTACATTTACATTTTAGTCATTTAGCAGACGCTCTTATCCAGAGCGACTTACAGTTAGTGAATACATTGTTTATTTTTTATTTTTTTTATACTGGCCCCCCCATGGGAATCGAACCCACAACCCTGGCGTTGCAAACGCATGCTCTATCAACTGAGCTACATCCCTGCCGGCCATTCCCTCCCCTGCCCTGGACGACGCTGGGGCCAATTGTGCGCCGCCCATGAGTCTCCCGGTCCGCGGGCCGGCGGCGACAGAGCCTGGATTCGAACCAGGAATCTCTAGTGGCACAGTTAGCACTGCGATGCCGTGCCTTAGACCACTGCGCCACTCTCTCTCTCTCTCTCCTGCTTTCCCACTCTCTCCTCTCTCTCTCTCTCCTGCTTTCCCACTCTCTCCTCTCTCTCTCTCCTGCTTTCCCACTCTCTCCTCTCTCTCTCTCTCCTGCTTTCCCACTCTCTCCTCTCTCTCTTCTCTCCTCCTGCTTTTCCCACTCTCCTTCCTCTCTCTCTCTCTCCTGCTTTCCCACTCTCTTCCTCTCTCTCTCTCTCCTGCCTTCCCCTCCCACTCTCTCCTCTCTCTCTCTCCTGCTTTCCCACTCTCCCTCTCTCTCTCCTGCTTTCCCACTCCTCTCCTCTCTCTCTCCTGCTTTCCCACTCTTCTCCTGCTTTCCCACTCTCTCCTCTCCTCTCTCTCCTGCTTTCCCACTCTTTCCTCTCTCTCTCTCCTGCTTTCCCACTCTCTCCCTCTCTCTCTCCTGCTTTCCCCATCCACTCCTCTCTCTCTCTCCTGCTTTCCCACTCTCTCCTCTCTCCTCTCTCTCTCCTCTCTCTCTCTCTCTCTCCTCTTTCTCTCTCATCTCTCTCTCTCTCCGCTTTCCCACCCACTCTCCTCTCTCCTCTCCCTCTTCATCCTGCTTTTCCCACTCTCTCCTCTCCCTCTCTCTCCTGTCTTTCCACTCCTCCTCTCTCTCTCCTCTCTCTCCTCATCTCCATCCTCTCTCTCACTGCATATTCCCACTCTCTCCTCTCTCTCTCTCTCTCATCTCCTTCTGTCCTTCCCACCTCTCCCTCCTCTCTCTCTCTCCTGCTTTCCCACTCTCTCCTCTCTCTGGTGGCTAATGTTTCTATCTGCCCTTCACCCTGACATCCCCCCCCCCAGCTCACCAAGACACACACACACAGTCATAATCACAGACACACTCACACACACGGACCGACCAGCTCCTCCAAATGCTGATGAACTTTATCTAGCTAGCTCTGCGAGGCGGCAGCCCCTGTGAATTTTTAAATGCTTTGATTTCTCTCTTCTCCCCCCTCTCTCTCCTTGTGTTGTGTTTCCCCCTCTTTATATATTGATCTGAAACTCCTTTGCTTTCTCTGGAAGCAGCAAACCTGACAGGTAAGGCTTAGCCGTACTTTATTGGTGTGTGTGATTTTTCAGTGAGAAAATAACCTGTCTCAGCATAAAATATATTTTTTATTAGTCGGGGGTGAAACAATGGGAGGGGAAAGAAGCTGGCTCGCTAGATACTGTATGCCTCTCGACTGTTTTGTTTCACGGATTTAAGAAAAAACTTTACGCGCCAAAGTTATTGTAGCAGTACTGAGCACTTGTTGTTTGTGTATGGACTGTGGAGGGCAGCTGTTTTGTCTTGACGTTGCACGTCTTTGCTCTCCTTCCCCCTCCAAAGCCGCAAACGAAAGGATTCAGAGCCCAGAACAAAATGTCTGCTGAACAACGCAGAGATCACCCCCCACCACCCCACAGACCCAGTGGAGATGAGACGCATCAACTTCCAGACCCCAGGTACGGCCTGGAGACGGGACACACATACACACACAGACCCATGTAGCAGCATTGTGGGGACCTATGACGGAACACACCCACATACACACACATACCCGTTTAGCAGCATTGTGGGGACCTATGACGGTCATCTCTCAGTCTACGCCCAGTGACTTTGTCACACACTCCCCCCATCCTTCTCTCTTCTCCTTAATCCCCTGTTTCCTATTTTCCTCTCTCCCTCCCCCTCTCCTTGTCTATCTATCAATCTTCAGTCGCTGATCTCCAGTCCATCAAAAGGCTCACATTTCAAAGGACCTAATCTCCGGCGCTGCCTGGTGATCCCGTGGTTTGGTGTAGGCAGCCTATACTTAGAACCCCTACCCACTTTGTACATTGGAAGACAGAGCAAAAATGTCATTGGGCTCCCAACACACCCACACCCCCACTTGGCACAGATGTCAGTTCAACAATCAAGTTTTGATTTACATTTGGTTGAGTTGTCAACTAACATGAATTCAACGTGAAATTGACAAAACATTTCACCATGTCATTGGATTTAGGTTAAAAGTTGGGTGAAAAAAAGACGTAATGCCTTTACGTTGACAACTTTTTGCAAATCCAATTCGTTTTTCTACGTTGATTCAATATCATCACATCGATTTTTATTTCGGTTGAATTTATTTGGAAACAACGTTGATTGAACCAGTTTTTGCCCAGTGGACAGACACACAGACACACGTTCCACTAGCTGAACCTTTTCCTTTGTCACACACTCTATTGTAGGGATCATTCTCCCAGCACCGACCCGGTAAATGAGCATGAGTACATTCCCTCGTCCTCCTTGTTACGGTGTCGCTCTCTGTCACGTTCTACGTGTTATTGAGTCCTCTTCTCCTTTCATCCGTCGTTTCATTGAATTCAATGTCATTATCTCTTCACCCCCGAGAAGTTCATTTTAACTGACATTTTAGCCCAATTAAGCAGTGCGGCAAACATTTGCGAACATCCCCATTAGCTAATAGTGGCCGTTGGTCAAACAAGCATACTCCAGTACACTTGGAGGACCCCCCAGTACAAACCAATGGAGCATAATGTCACCAAGCCCATGCCTGCACAGTGACCCCAGCCTTGGGTTAGGATGAAATGTGTTTTAGATTATATTTCAGATTCTAAGCTAGGCTAAGCGTGTGTGTCTGTGTGTGTGTGTGTGTGTGTGCGGCTCTGGTCACGTGATGACCGAGCTGGCGCCATCTCGTCATTATCTTTAGGTTTGTGCTACGGGTAAGTACTACAGACTTGCGCGTCAATGAAGCAATATGTAGTGGATATATGTCTGTCTCACTAATCAAAACCACACAACATGGTCAAGCTGATAGTTATAGATACAATTTAATATACTATCTTCTCTCTATATATATATATGCTGAGGGTGGGAGAAGAGAGAGAGCGAGAGAGAGGAGAGAGCGATAGGGAGAGCCGCAGAGAGAAGGAGCAGAAACACAAAGAAATGGAAAGAAACAAAGAAAAAAAAACAGCCAGAAGAACAACACACCCGGGCAAACCTAACAAAAAATCAACCCAAACAGCGAAGACACGACAAGACGCACAAAAGAACTGAAGGGAACAAGACGAGAAAGAAAGAAAAAAAACAGAGCGAACAGAGCAAAGAAAAAACACTAAGAACAGAAAGGAAACGGAGGAAGAGAATGGAGAGAGGCGTAGGGAGAGAGAGAGAGAGGCACCGGAGACGGAGAGGAGGGAGCGAGAGAGAGAGAGGAGAGGAGATAAACAAAAAACAAGAAAAAAAATAAAACAGAAAAAAAAAAGAGAGAAAACCAAAACAAAAAACAGAAAACAAAGCCAAAGGAGGCGAAAACAAAGGGAAGCAAATAGGAAAAGACAAAAAGAAAGAAAGAGAAAGATAGAAGAAAAAGAAAAACTAAGAAAGAAGAAGAGATAAGAGAAAAGAGAGGAAGAGAGAGAGAGGACGAGAGGGGAGAGAGAGAGGAGAGAGAGAGAGAAGAGAGAGCGAGCGAGAGAGAAGTAGAGAGGAGAGAATAGAAGAGAGAGGAGAGGGAGAGAGAGATAGAGGGAGAGAGAGAGAGAGGAAAAAGAGGAGAGAGAAAGAGAGCGAGAAGTCAGAGAGGATGAGAGAGGGGACGATTGAGACGGGTGAGGGGATATAGATATAGAGAGAGAGAGAGAGGTATTGTATAGCATAGAGCTTAGTAGAGAAGTAGATAGAGACGATAGAGTATACTATATTATTATATATCTCTGCTTTCGATCATATATGTTAGATAAGATACGGAATTAGTATATATCTATTATAAGAGATAGTGGAATAACATATTGCGCTCTATATATATATATATTATCTCTATTATATCTTCTAAATATATCTCTCGAGTATCTATGTTCTCTATATCTCTCTCTCTATCTCTATCTCTCGCTCGCTAGATCGCTCTATAAAATCTCTCTATGTCTCTTTATCCTATCCCCATATCGATCTTCTCTCTGTCTATCTGTCTCTCTCTCTCTCTCTGTCTCTCTAGTCTCTCTATATCTTCTTTCTAGCTCTCTTGCTCTCTCTTACCCTCTACAAATCCAAATTCAGACGGCTCAATTACTCCCAGTTTGAGCGAGAAGAATACCATGATTCTTCCACAAGACACTGGAGGGGGAGGCTGACTTCCTCTACCAGGCCTGCAGGAGAATTCCCTGCTCTGCTCACACACATACTCACCCACGCTTGCATCCGGAAACTGCCTGTTTCCTTGTGTTTACTCAATAGTATATTACCACGAGTCACGTGAAAGCACAGGCACACACACACGTCTTCACCCCCCCCCCCTCTCTGAACTCGTCTGCTGGTTCCCTGACCCGATCCTCATCCCTCTCTCATCCCCTCCCACACTCTCCATGTATTTACCCATTTCAGTCTATCTGAGTCAGAGTTTACATAAAGAGCCTGACCAAACTGGAATTATTTGTTATATATGGTTATGTCATGTTATATCATATGTTATATAATGTGTTATATCAGGTGTATAGTTTTTGTGTTTATATCATGTTAGGTCATGTGTTATGTTTTGTGTTATGTTTTATGTTATGTCATGTGTTAATCAGTGTTAATGTTTTGTCTGTGTCTACATCATGTATGGTCAGGTGTTATATATGCGTAATATGTTATTAATAATGTGTTAATTCCTTTAGATCTGTGTTAGGTCAGGTGTTATGTCTGTGGTCTATCAGGTGTTATGGTTTTGTGGTATATCAGGTTATGTCATGTGTTATATCATGTTTATATCAGGTGTATATCATGTGTAAAATCATGTGTATATAGGCGTTTATAATATGGTTATATAATGTTAATGTATGTGTTATATTTATGTGTCTATCATGTTATATCATGTGTGAAGCATGTTTTAATCATGTGTTATATAATGTATATCATGTGTTATGAAATGTGTGATATCAGTTTTATATCATGGGTTATATCCATGTGTTAATAATTTTATATGTCGTATGTCACTGTGTTAATATATGTGTTATTATCTGTTATATCATGTATACTGTGTTATATACAGGTTATACTCAGGTGTATGTGCCTGGGTTATATTAATGTGTTATGAATGGGTTTTATATCATGGTTATATAATGGGTTATGTCAGGTGTTTTATATCATGTTATATCATGTGTTATATGTTATGTAGATAATGTGTTATATATGTTATGTCATGTGTATATCCATGTGTATGTCATGTGTTTATATTATGTGTTATGTAATGGGTTATAACGCCTGTGTTTATCAGTGTTTACATCTTCCCTTTTTTCTTTTTTTTTTTTTTTTTCTTTATTAACCTTATTTAACCAGGTTAAGCCAGTGAAACAAGTTCTCATTACTACTTGCGACTGTCCAAGATTAAAGCAAAGCAGTGCGATTAAAAACAACAACAACACAGAGTTACATATGGGGTAAAACAAAACAAAGTCAAAAATACAACAGAAAATATATATACAGTGTGCAAATGTAGCAAGTTATGGAGGGTAAGGCAATAAATATGCTATAGTGCAAAATAATTACAATTAGTATTAACACTGGAATGATAGATGTGCAAGAAATGATGTGCAAATAGAGATACTGGGGGTGCAAATGAGCAAAATAAATAACAATATAGGGATGAGGTAGTTGGGCGGGCTAATTTCAGATGGGCTGTGTATAGGTGCAGTGATCGGTAAGGTGCTCTGACAACTGATGCTTAAAGTTAGTGAGGGAGATAAGTGTCTCCAGCTTCAGAGATTTTTTGCAATTTGTTCCAGTCATTGGCAGCAGAGAACTGGAAGGAATGGCGGCCAAAGGAGGTGTTGGCTTTGGGGATGACCAGTGAGATATACCTGCTGGAGCGCATACTACGGGTGGGTGTTGCTATGGTGACCAATGAGCTAAGATAAGGCGGGGATTTGCCTAGCAGTGATTTATAGATGGCCTGGAGCCAGTGGGTTTGGCGACGAATATGTAGTGAGGACCAGCCAACAAGAGTGTACAGGTCACAGTGGTCGGTAGTATATGGGGCTTTGGAGACAAAACGGATGGCACTGTGATAGACTACATCCAATTTGCTGAGTAGAGTGTTGGAGGCTATTTTGTAAATGACATCGCCGAAGTCAAGGATTGGTAGGATAGTCAGTTTTACGAGGGCATGTTTGGCAGCATGAGTGAAGGAGACTTTGTTGCGAAATAGGAAACCGATTCTAGATTTACCTTTGGATTGGAGATGCTTAATGTGAGTCTGGAAGGAGAGTTTACAGTCTAACCAGACACCTAGGTATTTGTAGTTGTCCACATACTCTAGGTCAGAACCGTCGAGAGTAGTGATTCTAGTCGGGTGGGGGCGGGTGCCAGCAGCGTTCGATTGAAGAGCATGCATTTAGTTTTACTAGCGTTTAAGAGCAGTTGGAGGCTACTGAAGGAGTGTTGTATGGCATTGAAGCTCGTTTGGAGGTTTGTTAACACAGTGTCCAATGAAGGGCCAGATGTATACAAAATGGTGTCGTCTGCGTAGAGGTGGATCTGAGAGTCACCAGCAGCAAGAGCGACATCATTGATATACACGGAGAAAAGAGTCTGGCCCAAGAATTGAACCCTGTGGCACCCCCATAGAGACTGGCCATAGGTCCAGACAACAGGCCCTCCGATTTGACACATTGAACTCTATCTGAGAAGTAGTTGGTGAACCAGGCGAGGCAGTCATTTGAGAAACCAAGGCTATTTAGTCTGCCAATAAGAATGCGGTGGTTGACAGAGTCGAAAGCCTTGGCCAGGTCGATGAAGACGGCTGCACATACTGTCTATTATCGATCGCGGTTATAATATCATTAGGACCTTGAGCGTGGCTGAAGTGCACCCATGACCAGCTCGGAAACCAGATTGCATAGTGGAGAAGGTTATGGTGGGATTCGAAATGGTCGGTGATCTGTTTGTTAACTTGGCTTTCAAAAACTTTCGAAAGGCAGGGCAGGATGGATATAGGTCTGTAACAGTTTGGATCTAGAGTGTCACCCCTTTTGAAGAGGGGGATGACCGCGGCAGCTTTCCAATCTCTGGGGATCTCAGACGTTACGAAAGAGAGGTTGAACAGGCTAGTAATAGGGGTTGCGACAATTTCGGCAGGCTAGTTTTCAGAAGAAAGGGTCCAGATTGTCTAGCCCAGATGATTTGTAGGGGTCCATATTTTGCAGCTCTATCAGAACATCAGCTGTCTGGATTTGTGTGAAGGAGAAGCGGGGGGGGGCATGGGCAAGTTGCAACGGAGGGTGCAGAGCTGGTGGCCAGGGTAGTGGTAGCCAGGTGGAAAGCATGGCCAGCCGTAGCAAAATGCTTGTTGAAATTTCTCAATTATTGTAGATTTATCGGTGGTGATAGTGTTTCCTAGCCTCAGTGTAGTGGGCAGCTGGGAGGAAGTGCTCTTATTCTCCATGGACTTTACAGTGTCCCAAAACTTTTTGGCGTTAGTGCTACAGGATGCAAATTTCTGTTTGAAAAAGTTAGCCTTTGCTTTCCTAACTGCTTGTGTATATTGGTTCCTAACTTCCCTGAAAAGTTGCAGAAAAGGGCTATTTGATGCTAATGCAGTACGCCACAGGATGTTTTTGTGCTGGTCAAGGGCAGTCAAGTCTGAGGAGAACCAGGGGCTATATCTGTTCTTAGTTCTGTATTTTATGAATGGGGCATGTTTATTTAAGATTGAGAGGAAATTACTTTTAAAGAACAACCAGGCATCCTCTACTGATGGAATGAGATCTATATCCATCCAGGATACCTGGGCCAGGTCAATTAGGAAGGCCTGCTCGCTGAAGTGTTTTAGGGAGCGTTTGACAGTGATGAGGGGTGGTCGTTTGACCGCGGACCCGTTACGGACGCAGGCAATAAGGCAGTGATCGCTGAGATCCTGGTTGAAGACAGCGGAGGTGTATTTAGAGGGTAAATTAGTCAGGATGATATATATGAGGGTACCCATGTTTACGGATTTAGGGTTGTACCTGGTAGGTTCGTTGATAATTTGTGTGAGATTGAGGGCATCTAGTTTAGATTGTAGGATGGCCGGGGTGTTAAGCATATCCCAATTTAGGTCACCAAGCAGTACGAACTCTGAGGATAGATGGGGGGCAATCAATTCACATATGGTGTCCAGGGCACAGCTGGGGGCTGAGGGGGGTCTGTAGCAAGCGGCAACAGTAGGAGACTTATTTCTGGAAAGGTGGATTTTTAGAAGTAGAAGCTCAAACTGTTTGAGCACAGACCTGGATAGTATGATAGAGCTCTGCAGGCTATCTCTACAGTAGATTGCAACTCCACACCCTTTGGCAGTTCTATCTAGACGGAAACTGTTGTAGTTGGGGATGGACATTTCTGCATTTTTGGTGGCCTTCCTAAGCCAGGATTCAGACACTGCTTGAACATCAGGGTTGGTGGAGTGTGCTAACGCAGTGAATAACTCAAACTTAGGAAGGAGGCTTCTGATATTTACGTGCAGAAAACCAAGGCTTTTACGGTTACAGAAGTCAACAAATGATAGCTCCTGGGGAGTAGGAGTGATATTGGGGGCTGCAGGGCCTGGGTTAGCCTCTACATCACCAGAGGAACAGAGGAGGAGTAGAATAAGGATATGACTAAAGGCTTTAAGTACTGGTCTTCTAGTGCGTTGGGTACAGAGAATAAAGGGGGCAGATTTCCGGGCGTTGTAGAAAAGATTCAGGGCATTATGTACAGAAAAGGATATGGAAGGATATGAGTACAGTTGAGGTAAACCTAAGCGTTGGGTAACAATGAAAGAGATAGCATCACTGGAGGCACCGATTGAGCCGGTGTCGGCGTGTATGGGGGATGGAACAAAGGAACTATTTGAGGCAGTTTGAGAGGGACTTGGGGTTCTACAGTGAAATTGTATAATAAGAACTAACCCAAACAGCAATAGGCAAGGCATATTGACATGGGAGAGAGGCATAAAGCAATCACAGATGTTATTAGAGAGAGCTAAGACAACAACTGGTAATAGCGATAAAGTTTGGGCTGAGGCTAAACAGAATAGGGTACCGTGTAAAGGAACAGTCCAGCAGGCATCAGCTGTGCAGCTGAGTGATCATAAGGTCCAGTGAACAGCAATATGTGAGTCCGAGAGCAGTTCAAATTGGTGCTTCAGCACAGCTAGCAGGAAGCACAGTTGTAGTTTGCGTGTGCTAGCGGGCCGGGGCTAGCAGATGGATCTTCGTGGTCGTCGAAACGGGAAGCCTGTTGAAACCACATCAGACGATTTCGTCGGCAAACCAGTCGTGTTGGATCGGCGGGGCTCAGTGTCAACACTAGGAGGTCCCGTCCGTTTGACAGAGAGGTGGATAGCCGGGAGATGGGCCTGAGGCTAGCTCAAGGCTAACTGGTGCTTGCTATGGGGCAATGGTAATTAGCTAACAACAGGTTGCAGCTAGCTGGTTGCGATGATCCGGCGCTAGGGTCCAGTGATTCCGGCAGAAAGTCCGATATGCTCTGGGTCGATAGCACGCTGTGCACACTGGCCAACTAATTGTCCAGGCTAGAGCTAGAGCTGGCTGGTGGATAGTGTAGGCCACGGACAATGGTGAAGACGCTAACGGTGACTAATAGCAAGTAGCCATTCAGTTGCAGCTAGACTAATTTCAGCTTAAAGTTCTTGATGAAAGTTATAAAGAAATAATAGAATCCTTTCCACGTTGGGTGAGGCGGGTTGCAGGAAAGTATATTTAGTTAAAGAATGAAAAGTAAAATTGAGAAATATATACAAAATAGACAAAAAAACAAGAAACTGGATATATACACTAGAACACAGAATAAAACCACGACCGCACTGCTACGCCATCTTGGTGTTATATCATTGTTATATCATGTGTTATGTCATGTGTTATATAATGTGTTATGTTTTGTGTTATATCATGTGTTATATCATGTGTTATATCATGTTATATCATGTGTTATGTCATGTGTTATGTCATGTTTCATGTTTTGTGCGGACCCCAGGAAGAGTAGATGCTGCTTTCGCAACAGCTAATGGGGATCCTAATAAAATACCAAAATGACACAGAAGGATGAGTCTTAGTTAGGAATTAGCCCTTTGGCTACTCTGTTAGGAGTTAGTCCCACCCACTCATCTCTTTTAGGAGTTAGTCCCACCCACTCATCTCTGTTAGGAGTTAGTCCCCCACATCTCTGTTAGGGTAGTCCCACCACCCACTCATCTCTTTTAGGAGTTAGTCCCACCCACTCATCTCTGTTAGGAGTTAGTCCCACCCACTCATCTCTTTTAGGAGTTAGTCCCACCCACTCATCTCTGTTAGGAGTTAGTCCCACCCACTCATCTCTTTTAGGAGTTAGTCCCACCCACTCATCTCTGTTAGGAGTTAGTCCCACCCACTCATCTCTTTTAGGAGTTAGTCCCACCCACTCATCTCTGTTAGGAGTTAGTCCCACCCACTCATCTCTTTTAGGAGTTAGTCCCACCCACTCATCTTTGTTAGGAGTTAGTCCCCACCCACTAATCTCTGTTAGGAGTTAGTCCCACCCACTCATCTCTGTTAGGAGTTACTCCCACCCACTCATCTCTGTTAGGAGTTAGTCCCACCCACTCATCTCTGTTAGGAGTTAGTCCCCACCCACTAATCTCTGTTAGGAGTTAGTCCCACCCACTCATCTCTGTTAGGAGTTACTCCCACCCACTCATCTCTGTTAGGTGTTACTCCCACCCACTAATCTCTTTTAGGAGTTAGTCCCACCCACTCATCTCTGTTAGGAGTTACTCCCACCCACTAATCTCTGTTAGGAGTTAGTCCCACCCACTCATCTCTTTTAGGAGTTAGTCCCACCCACTCATCTCTGAAGTGTAGTAAAGAAGGTAAAAGGTTTGGAAGGTTGAAGACAGGAAGTGTTGCCCATCCGTTGTTTTTCTTCCTCACCTTCTCTTGTGCATGTGACTGGCGCTGCTGTACATTTCGTTGCTGTCTGGACAAAACCTTTTTGCTGTCGGAAGAAAGTTTGGTGATTGTATGTTCATAAATGTTCAAATATGACCGCTTTTCCCTTTCCTGAAAATAAGATGTTGGAGATACAAGGTTTTCTTCCGACAGTGAACATTTAAACTCAAATCCCAAGTGTTCGTTGTTCTCCTTACTTATGGGGTTTGAGGGCTACAGTTAGCCACAATATGCAACGCTAAAAAGGAGTTAATGTACTCATGCTTTCACCACCGAGTGCCCCCCTTGCAGTGTACTGCATTGCAGCACATCTCTGCAGCCTTGGGCTACTGTGTCTTAGTGGCCCAGGGTTCTTGAATGGAATGCTTTTGTGGCCCAGAAACTGAATTCGCTCTCCTTTCTAGTCCAGAGTAATGGCGAGTTGCAGTGCCATTCTTCAGTGACCTCACGTTGACCAAACAGACAGGTGTGAGGACGATCGCCACAGATGGCTCTCCTTCTGCCTGAGTAGAAAGACAGACACCGACCTAAGAGTGTGTACCTGCGACACAGCCTTTACTGTCATGGATCTTCTCGACAGACTGTGAACTGTCACAAGTGCTTCCCTTCACTCCAGCTCATCAGCCCAGACTATACAACTGTCGGAGAAATATGCAGATGCTTTTCCACACCGTTCACTAGCAATGCCTCTCTCACAGACGTCTGGACAAAGGGGCTTTTCATTTTACAGGAGAAATATAAATCTGTTTCCCTTTTTTATTTTATTTTCTTTCTCTCTTTTATGATGCCAACCTTCTTACCTCTGTTTATGTAAGAGAAACTAAATCCATTTCTGACTCACTCCTGGTTATGACTGCTGAGGCCAGGAGGCTTTATACAGGAGTTTCAATTGGGCAGGAGTGATGGACGCCCGTGGCAAACAAACAACTCGCGCTGCCACCGCGACACTGATTGGAATTTGCCGGTGGGTGGGAGGGTCAGGGTGTACTGCTGAAATGTGTGGCCTACTTTCCCCCTGCCTGTCTGACAGACTGGTTTCACATCCAACACTCAGGACCCCCACTGAGAATGACCCCAATAATTCAGGACAGGGGAGGACTGCCATGTTGCTTGTACAAAAAGAACACAAAGAATAGAGAGTAATAACATTCGTAAACATTTGTGAATAAGTGAAGGATTGAGATACTTTGCCTCTCTCTCTGTATGTGTTTCTTGAACTTGAACTGAATTTTTAGGTTCAGCATTTTTTTTTAAAACTAGTTTTTGTTTCTTTTGTATGTTTGCTATTCTTCACAGATTCTGGTCTGAGCAGTCCTCTAAGTGAAGCCGATTTTTACTATGAAAGTTAGTCCTGTGTTTGTCCTCTCACGTCATTTTAGATTTTCTAGCACTGCCCCCATTTACAAAGTTTATTTGCCACATGTTGCAATTTCAGCACAAATTTCCTTTTCATTTTTTTTTGTAACCCGGCTGTTTTGACTTTGTTTGTATTTTCAGTTGTGATATTCACACAGAGCTGTTTGGCTGCGCATTAATCCACAATACGTAACCTCTGCTATCACTTCTGCTGATGTAGAGAAATTGGGTTTTTACAGGAGTTATTTCTTCTCACTCACTCCCCTCGCTCCTCCCTCCCTCCCTCCCTCAACCATTGCTCCAATTCCAATCTGAACTGACTGGGATCTTTCTGCACTCTACAAGATAACGAGCGGAATTAATTAAAGACCCTGGCAAACAATGGTTCAACATTTGATCTTCCTCTCGCAGAAAATAAGCAACGAAGAAAAAAAGGGGAACAAGTTATTTCCCTCCAACTCTCAGACACACTGAGTGTCTTTTATAATAACCATTTAGAAACAGGCTCCCCGAGTGGGCAGGGCTATCAAAAGGAAACAGGCTCCCCCCCCCCCGAGTGGCAGGGCTATCAAAAGGAAACAGGCTCCCCTGAGTCGCCAGGGCTATCAAAAGGAAACAGGATCCCCCCCCGAGTGGCCAGGGCTATCAAAAGGAAACAGGCATCCCCCCCGAGTGGGCAGGGCTATCAAAAGGAAACAGCCTCCCCCCGAGTCGCCAGGGCTATCAAAAGGAAAGGGGCTCCCCCCCCGAGTGGCCAGGGCTATCAAAAGGAAACAGCCTCCCCCCCCGAGTGGCCAGGGCTATCAAAGGAAACAGGCTCCCCCCCCCGAGTGGGCAGGGCTATCAAAAGGAAACAGGCCCCCCCCCGAGTGGCCAGGGCTATCAAAGGAAAACAGGCTCCCCCCCCCCCCGAGTGGGCAGGGCTATCAAAAGGAAACAGGCTCCCCCCCCCGATTTGGGCAGGGCTATCAAACAGGGAAAACAGGCTCCCCCCCCCCCGAGTGGCCAGGGCTATCAAAAGGAAACAGGCTCCCCCCCCCGAGTGGCCAGGGCTATCAAAAGGAAACAGGCTCCCCCCCGAGTGGCCAGGGCTATCAAAAGGAAACAGCCTCCCCCCGAGTGGGCAGGGCTATCAAAGGGAAAGGGGCTCCCCCCCGAGTGGCCATGGGCTATCAAAAGGAAACAGGCTCCCCCCCCCGAGTGGGCAGGGCTATCAAAAGGAAACAGGCTCCCCCCCCCGAGTGGGCAGGGCTATCAAAAGGAAACAGGCTCCCCCCCCGAGTGGCCAGGGCTATCAAAAGGAAAGGGGCTCCCCCCCGAGTGGGCAGGGCTATCAAAAGGAATCATTATTTCCCAGGCGTATCGACTGCGGATCTGAGATTTGGAAATGTGTAATTAGACGCTAGATGTGTTTTTCCGAACCAACTGATCTCAGTAGAGTCTGAGAAAGAGGGGGGGGGGGGGGGGACGACAACAACAACTTGTCCTTGAGAGAATTTGCATGCAATTGGCTCGAGTCAATACACACAGTGGTACACTGCTGCTGAGTACAAAGAAGGATATGGATGAGAAGACAAAATCGGATGAGATCAACTCGTTTGTCTTTGGTAGGCCCAGGAACAAGACTGATTGTGTGTGTTAAGCCTTAAAAGCAAAGGAAGGATGGAAAATTACATTGTTTTGCAAACCACGGGGACGGAAAGAGAGTCACAAACAGACGTGCTTAGCCATGCCATAGAAAACAGACGTGCTAGACATGTGAGCCCCAGACAGAAGTAGGTGAATAGGGTGCCATTTCAGACGTAGCCCCACTCTCTGTGTTAATACAGAGAATGTTTTGTTGAGTTATGCAGGAGTCGAGATGAAAACAGACTACAAATGCAATTTCTTGGAACTTCCAGTAGGTAGAGTTCATTACCTAAGCTCACAACTGTCTCCATAAGCGCCAACTCTGAGCACTGTGGGGTGTATTCATAAAAACCTTAGCACCAGTTTACATTTACTGCTTTTTTTTAACAGACTAATAACCCAAATGAATGGCAGTGAACTATTTATTTATTATTTATTTACTATTTATGTATTATTTATTTACTATTTATTTATGTATTATGTTATGTATTATTTATTTACTATTTATTATTTATTTATTATTTATGTATTATTTATTTACTATTTATGTATTATTTATTTACTATTTATTTATGTATTATTTATTTACTATTTATTATTTATGTATTATTTATTTACTATTTATTATTTATTTATTATTTATTTACTATTTGTTTATGTATTATTTATTTACTATTTATTATTTATTTACTATTTATTTACTATTTATTATTTATTTATTATTTATTTACTATTTATTTACTATTTATTTACTATTTATTTACTATGTATTTATTATTTATTTACTATTTACAACACAGAGTTACATATGGGGTAAACAAAACATAAAGTCAAAAATACAACAGAAAAATATATATATACAGTGTGTGCAAATGTAGCAAGTTATGGAGGTAAGGCAATAAATAGGCCATAGTGCAAAATAATTACAATGTAGTATTAACACTGGAATGATAGATGTGCAAGAGATGATGTGCAAATAGAGATACTGGGGTGCAAATGTGGTCCTCTGTAGCTCAATTGGTAGAGCATGGTGCTTGTAACGCCAGGGTAGTGGGTTCGATCCCCGGGATCACCCATACGTAAAAATGTATGCACACATGACTGTAAGTCACTTTGGATAAAAGCGTCTGCTAAATGGCATATTATTATATTATATAAATGAGCAAAATAAATAACAATATGGGGATGAGGGAGTTGGGTAGGCTAATTTCAGATGGGCTGTGTACAGGTGTAGTGATCGGTAAGCTGCTCTGACAACTGACGATTAAAGTTAGTGAGGGAGATAAGAGTCCCCAGCTTCAGAGATTTTTGCAGTTCGTTCCAGTCATTGGCAGCAGGGAACTGGAAGGAATGGCGGCCAAAGGAGGTGTTGGCTTTGGGGATGACCAGTGAGATATACCTGCTGGAGCGCATACTACGGGTGGGTGTTGCTATGGTGACCAATGAGCTAAGATAAGGCAGGGATTTGCCTAGCAGTGATTTATAGATGACCTGGAGCCAGTGGGTTTGGCGACGAATATGTAGTGAGGACTAGCCAACAAGAGCGTACAGGTCACAGTGGTGGGTAGTATATGGGGCTTTGGTGACAAAACGGATGGCACTGTGATAGACTACATCCAATTTGCTGAGTAGAGTGTTGGAGGCTATTTTGTAAAGGACATCGCTGAAGTCAAGGGTCGGTAGGATAGTCAGTTTAACGAGGGCATGTTTGGCAGCATGAGTGAAGGAGGCTTTGTTGCGAAATAGGAAGCCGATTCTAGATTTAACTTTGGATTGGAGATGCTTAACCAGACACCTAGGTATTTGTAGTTGTCCACATACTCTAGGTCAGACCCGCCGAGAGTAGTGATTCTAGTCGGGTGGGCGGGTGCCAGCAGCGTTCGATTGAAGAGTATGCATTTCGTTTTACTAGTGTTTAAGAGCAGTTGGAGGCTACGGAAGGAGTGTTGTATTACATTGAAGCTCGTTTGGAGGTTTGTTAACACAGTGTCCAATGAAGGGCCAGATGTATACAAAATGGTGTTGTCTGCGTAGAGGTTGTTACTGATTTAACATATGCCAGTATGCCTAGGTTACCTAGGTTACAGTTCCTCTCTCCAAACCAAACACTTACAGTGGGGAAGAAAAGTATTTAGTCAGCCACCAATTGTGCAAGTTCTCCCACTTAAAAAGATGAGAGAGGCCTGTAATTTTCATCATAGGTACACGTCAACTATTACAGACAAATTGAGGGGAAAAAATCCAGAAAATCACATTGTAGGATTTTTAATGAATTTATTTGCAAATTATGGTGGAAAATAAGTATTTGGTCACCTACAAACAAGCAAGATTTCTGGCTCTCACAGACCTGTAACTTCTTCTTTAAGAGGCTCCTCTGTCCTCCACTCGTTACCTGTATTAATGGCACCTGTTTGAACTTGTTATCAGTATAAAAGACACCTGTCCACAACCTCAAACAGTCACACTCCAAACTCCACTATGGCCAAGACCAAAGAGCTGTCAAAGGACACCAGAAACAAAATTGTAGACCTGCACCAGGCTGGGAAGACTGAATCTGCAATAGGTAAGCAGCTTGGTTTGAAGAAATCAACTGTGGGAGCAATTATTAGGAAATGGAAGACATACAAGACCACTGATAATCTCCCTCGATCTGGGGCTCCACGCAAGATCTCACCCCGTGGGGTCAAAATGATCACAAGAACGGTGAGCAAAAATCCCAGAACCACACGGGGGGACCTAGTGAATGACCTGCAGAGAGCTGGGACCAAAGTAACAAAGCCTACCATCAGTAACACACTACGCCGCCAGGGACTCAAATCCTGCAGTGCCAGACGTGTCCCCCTGCTTAAGCCAGTACATGTCCAGGCCCGTCTGAAGTTTGCTAGAGTGCATTTGGATGATCCAGAAGAGGATTGGGAGAATGTCATATGGTCAGATGAAACCAAAATAGAACCTTTTGGTCAAAACTCAACTCGTCGTGTTTGGAGGACAAAGAATGCTGAGTTGCATCCAAAGAACACCATACCTACTATGAAGCATGGGGGTGGAAACATCATGCTTTGGGGCTGTTTTTCTGCAAGGGGACCAGGACGACTGATCCGTGTAAAGGAAAGAATGAATGGGGCCATGTATTGTGAGATTTTGAGTGAAAATTTCCTTCCATCAGCAAGGAGGGCATTGAAGATGAAACGTGGCTGGGTCTTTCAGCATGACAATGATCCCAAACCACACCGCCCGGGCAACGAAGGAGTGACTTCGTAAGAAGCATTTCAAGGTCCTGGAGTGGCCTAGCCAGTCTCCAGATCTCAACCCCATAGAACATCTTTGGAGGGAGTTGAAAGTCCGTGTTGCCCAGCGACAGCCCCAAAACATCACTGCTCTAGAGGAGATCTGCATGGAGGAATGGGCCAAAATACCAGCAACAGTGTGTGAAAACCTTGTGAAGACTTACAGAAAACGTTTTGACCTGTGTCATTGCCAACAAAGGGTATATAACAAGTATTGAGAAACTTTTGTTATTGACCAAATACTTATTTTCCACCATAATTTGCAAATAAATTCATAAAAAATCCTGATGTGATTTTAAAAATCCTGATGTGATTTCCCACCATAATTTGCAAATAAATTCATTAAAAATCCTGATGTGATTTTCTTGATTTGGACACTGTCTGCAAATGAACACTGAGCGCGCACCTCTTTTGATCTCTCTAACAAGCTGCTAGTTTTATTTTTGCTCAAGGTGAAAAGAAGCCGAGGTAGTGTCCTCATTTGCATACCCATCTGTTCTTTTCACTGTAGCTTGTGTTACCTTTTCCGTTATAGCTGGTGGGAAAACTAACTGACAGCCTAAGTTCATTTGCGATGCAGAATTCTTCCCTTTTTAACCCGCGTTCGGTCTTATAAATGCACAATCCGACAATGATTAATAACAACATGTTTCCAGGCGATGATGGGCAGAGGAGAGCAGCATGCAATGTTATTTCAGTCAAAAACTGATATGTGAGCAAACAAATTAAAGAGCTTGTCAAAATGCATCTATACCAGGGGGGCTTGCTAATACTGCTCTTCCCATGCAAGGCTTTGTCTATTGCTAATACTGCTCTTCCATTGCAAGGCTTTGTCTATTGCCAATGCTGCTCTTCCATTGCAAGGCTTTGTCTATTGATTCAACTTAAAGCCAGACTCAGTAAGTCTAACTTACGTATTTAGTATTTATGAAATATCAAACTGTCTTGGCGACAAAACAAAACCAGGCAAGACATAATGTAAACAAATCCAGGCAAGACATAATGTAAACAAACCCAGGCAAGACATAATGTAAACAAACCCAGGCAAGACATAATGTTGTCACGCCCTGACTCGGGGGACGCTTATATGTTGAGTCAGGGTGTGTATATTCCTTGTTGTGCTTTGTCTTTGTATAGGATCTAGTATGTCTAGTTCTATGTTGGCCGGTGTGGTTCCCAATCAGAGGCAGCTGTCGCTCGTTGTCTCTGATTGGGGACCATACATAGGCAGCCAATTGGCACTGTCTTGTTGTGGGATCTTGTTCCGTGTAAGGTATGTTGTGTGTGCTACCTTGGACTTCACGTTTCGTTTTGTTTCTTGTTTTGTCGTTTGTTTATTAAGTTCAATAAACATGTACGCATATCACGCTGCGCCTTGGTCTGACCCGTCATTAGACGAACGTGACAAATGTAAACAAACCCAGGCAAGACATAATGTAAACAAACCCAGGCAAGACATAATGTAAACAAACCCAGGCAAGACATAATGTAAACAAACCCAGGCAAGACATAATGTAAACAAACCCAGGCCAGGTTTCATAACCTGCTCTCTCTGAGAGTTCTCAAGCGGCTGCTGGGCCAGCCACCCTTCCATCAGTCAGTATCACACTGCTGGGCCAGCCACCCTTCCATCAGTCAGTATCACACTGCTGGGCCAGCCACCCTTCCATCAGTCAGTATCACACTGCTGGGCCAGCCACCCTTCCATCAGTCAGTATCACACAGCTGGGCCAGCCACCCTTCCATCAGTCAGTATCACACAGCATGTGTTCTCGTTTGCTTGTAGCCTACAAGCATGTAAGTTACTCTGCTGTATTGTAACATGTTCATTTACAAGTGGAGTCAGCTATGAACGTTACAGCAGTAAAATGTAATTCTAGCGGTTAAGAGTGTTGGGCCAGCAATCGAAAGTTCGCTGGTTCGAATCCCAGAGCCAACTAGGTGAGAAATCTGTCGATGTGCCCTTGAGTAAGGCACCTAATTGCTCCTGTAAATCGCTCTGGATAAGCGCGTCTGCTAAATGACTAAAATGTAAATGTAGGCCGCCTACTGCGGTGCAACGGTAGTGCCGTTATCTGCTTGATCTCTTGCAGTGAAAACACCTGCCTGGAAAAGTCAACCCTCAGCAACTATAGGGTTGAATTGTAAAATAAATTTGCCATCAAAAGGTTGCAATAGTAAATTCAATATGCAAGAGGAAAACAACTAGCCAGCTAGCAACTCCAGCAAAGTTTGCAACTAATTGCATGAACGTTTGTTTGTCTGTAGGCTAATCACCCACCGGTAGCTAACTTGCTTCCCTTACCAGTAGACAGAGCTGGCTTTCGTGATTCTTATCCATAGTGTCCAGCATGCTGGTCGTGCTGAGGAGTCAAACATATGGTGCAACTAGCTAGAGAATTTTCTCAATCTGTTGCTGAATCAAAATCACCCACAATTCCTTAAGAAGCTCAAGCTAGCAACATCAACACAACTTTGTAACAACAGACCCTCCAGTGTTTCAAAAATCTGTGCTCCTGCGCATCATCAGCTGTCGGACACAGACAGACGCACAGACGGACTGACCGCTAGGAGCCAATATTATTAGCTGTTATGACGTGCATTTGTAAGCTTAATTACACTTTTATTCTGTATCACTCAACTCTCATTTATTATGAGTCCCGTTTGCAATGAGAGGGATATAGCTAGATATCTGTATTGTTGATGAGTTGTTGTAGTTGTGGATTGATCAGATGAACAAATAGAACGTGCGCGATATAAATTATCAATAGGCCTATGCGTCATAATTACATGGAGAAATCAAATTTGTAAACAAAGCTGCTGCAGTTACAGTGCCTTGGGAAAGTATTCAGACCCCTTGACTTTTTGTTACGTTACAGCCTTATTCTAAAATGGATTAAATCGTTTTTTTTTCCCTCATCAAGCTACACACAATACCCCATAATGACAAAGCAAAATGTTTAGAAATGTTTGCAAATTTATTACAAAATAAAAAACTGAAATATTACATTTACATAAGTATTCAGACCCTTTACTCAGTACTTTGTTGAAGCACCTTTGGCAGCGATTACAGCCTTGAGTCTTCTTGGGTATGACGCTACAAGCTTGGCACAGCTGTATTTGGGGAGTTTCTCTCATTCTTCCCTGAGCTCAATTTCGAGTCTCATAGCAAAGGGTCTGAATACTTATTTCTAAAAAACTGTTTTCACTTTATCATTATGGGGTATTGTGTGTAGATTGCTGAGGATTTTGTATTTATTTAATCAATTTTAGAATAAGCCTGTAACGTAACAAAATGTGGAAAAAGTCAAGGGGTCTGAATACTAATATGAAAATATGACATATTTTATGACGTGTTTCTTATTCAACAAAACTGTATGAATAAGGCTCGAAATGATTTATATGCTTTCTAAATCAAATTATAAAACCACCAACTATAAGATTTCACCTTCCGTATAACTGTAAAATACATATTTGAATGTTTATAATAAATAATTGAAGAGAACAGTTCTTATACAGTAGGAGTCTAAAGAAGGTTGTTTCATTTGGTCTCACAAAGGATTGTCAGATTGGGTCACTTATCGAATCAACTAACACATGCTATTACTGTGTCATAATCGTTGCTTGAATTGGGCTGGTGCTCGCACCTCTAATTTTCAACCCCTTCGCTACCGGCATATCTTATGCTCTAAAATAGTCCGATCTACTGTTGGATAACTGGGTTCTTTAATCAGTCAGTGGGTCTTTACAGGATCCACCTTTTATTCTTGTTATGTTGACATTCTTGTCAACCAGTCCTCTAACACAACACAGCATGTCCATTCATCAACTAGAACAGTAGTGTTCAGTGCCTCAACCTCCATTAGTCCCTGTGTCTCCTATATCTCTGTTAGATTCCTAGAATCCCTGCTAACCCCCATGTAAATGTCACCGTAAAATTGTTCCCCTCATTTAAAAAAAAGGACCAACACTAATTGGGAATATTCCCAGGGAGTGTCGAGTGTCCCCTCCCTGGCGAAACAAAACGTTTGTGATCCCATCGATCTTCGGGAGGACGCTAAGCGCAGAGAGAACGGGGAAAATTGAGGATGCTTAATCTAATTTCGCAGATTTTGCATGGCCAATTAAGCCTCTGAGAACTTTTTTCCCAAAGGACGTTGTCAACATTCATGCGACTTTTGACCTCCATTTGCAGAATGTAACGTAGTGGGCTTAAGTCCCTTCTATAAATATGACTAGTGTTAAGTACCGTGTCGGGGCTATGTCCAGGGACAACACTCTATGACTTTCCTGTATAACATTACATCCCAGCATTATGCCCCTAAATGGATTAACTCCAGTGTACACACACAGCCTCGCTGATATGTTATAGCATATTGACTTAGAGCGCTAGAGAGAAAGAGAAGAAGTCAATTTAGGACCATAATCACTAGGCTGGTTTGAATATTACTATATTTATATAATATTACTATATTTATGTAATATTACTATATATCTAGGGCAGTTGGAAAGGTGATAGTGGTGGCGGAGTGCTACAGACACTGTGCATAAATTGCCTTCAACCGACTACGCAGGTTCTGACATTTTGGGTGGTGTTAGGACTGGTGAGGGGCATCCATCTTAAGGGACAATTGTTTTGGCTGCTTGTTTGGGAGGCCCAGCGGAAAGCCATAAAAGGTTGTCTGTGAGCGATCCTAGCGTCTGTGAGCGATCCTATCGTCTGTGAGCGATCCTAGCGTCATGCTTTCTTGGCCTCGGCTGACTTACGTGGAGCAGCTCACTAACCCCTGACCCTTGACCCCTAACCCCTGACCCGTCTAACCCTGTCCAAATGGGGATGGGGCCTCTCTTGAAGAAACATTGTAGCACAGGCTTGGTAGATACACCAACTCAGTGGCCTGTCTGCCCTGAGATTGGAAGGTACAACCCCCGGCCTAGTCATACCAAAGACTGTAAAAATGGGACCCGATGTGTCTCTGCTTGGCACTCGGCATTAAGGAGATAGATTCGGGGTAAGGCCCTGCGATAGACTAGCGTCCTGTCCAGGAGGTGTACTTCTACATCAAGCTGCCTCACACTACATAAACAGGTAGATATCTAGTATATCTAGTTCATATAGATGTACAGTGCCTTGCAAAAGTATTCATCCTCCTTGGCGTTTTTCCTATATTGTTGCATTACAACCTGTAATTTAAATTGATTTTTATTTGGATTTCATGTAATGGACATACACAAAATAGTCCAAATTGGTGAAGTGAAAAAAATAACTTGTTTCAAAGAATTCAAAAAATGTATAACGGAAAAGCATGCATATGTATTCACCCCCTTTGCTATTAAGCCCCTAAATAAGATCTGGTGCAACCAATTACCTTCAGAAGTCACATAATTAGTTAAATAAAGTCCACCTGTGTGCAATCTAAGTGTCACATGATCTGTCACATGATCTCAGTATATATACACCTGTTCTGAAAGGCCCCAGAGTCTGCAACACCACTAAGCAAGGGGCACCACCAAGCAAGCGGCACCATGAAGACCAAGGAGCTCTCCAAATAGGTCAGAGACAAAGTTGTGGAGAAGTACAGATCAGGGTTGGGTTATAAAACAATATCTGAAACTTTGAACATCCCACGGAGCACCATTAAATCCATTATTTAAAAAATGGAAAGATAATGGCACCACAACAAACCTGCCAAGAGATGGCCGCCCACCAAAACTCACGGACCAGGCAAGGAGGGCATTAATCAGAGAGGCAACAAAGAGACCAAAGATAACATTTACATTTACATTTTAGTAGACGCTCTTATCCAGAGCGACTTACAGTTAGTGAGTGCATACATTTTCATACTGGCCCCCGTGGGAAACGAACCCACAACCCTGGTGTTGCAAGTGCCATGCTCTACCAACTGAGCTACACGGGGCCTGAAGGAGCTGCAAAACTCCACAGCGGAGATTGGACAGATACTCCATAGGACCACTTTAAGCCGTACACTCCACAGAGCTGGGCTTTACGGAAGAGTGGCCAGAAAAAAGCAATTGCTTAAAGAAAAAAATAAGCAAACACGTTTGGTGTTCGCCAAAAGCCATGTGAGAGACTCCCCAAACATATGGAAGAAGGTACTCTGGTCAGATGAGACTAAAATTGAGCTTTTAGGCCATCAAGGTAAGCGCTATGTCTAGCGCAAACCCAACACCTCTCATCACCACGAGAACACCATCCCCACAGTGAAGCATGGTGGTGGCAGCATCATGCTGTGGGGATGTTTTTCATCGGCAGGGACTGGGAAACTGGTCAGAATTGAAGGAATGATGGATGGTGCTAAATACAGGGAAATTCTTTTCCGTTTCAGTCTTCCAGAGATTTGAGACTGGGACGGAGGTTAATCTTCCAGCAGGACAATGACCCTAAGCATACTGCTAAAGCAACACTTGAGTGGTTTAAGGGGAAACATTTAAATGTCTTGGAATGGCCTAGTCAAATCCCAGACCTCAATCCAATTGAGAATCTGTGGTATGACTTAAAGATTGCTGTACACCAGCGGAACCCATCCAACTTGAAGGAGCTGGAGCAGTTTTGCCTTGAAGAATGGGCAAAAATCCCAGTGGCTAGATGTGCCAAGGTTATAGAGACATACCCCAAGAGACGTGCAGCTGTAATTGCTGCAAAAGGTGGCTCTACAAAGTATTGACTTTGGGGGGGGGGGGTGAATAGTTATGCACGCTCAAGTTTTCCGTTTTTTTGTCTTATTTCTTGTTTGTTTCACACCCAAAAATATTTTGCATCTTCAAAGTGGTAGGCATGTTGTGTAAATCAAATGATACAAACCCCCAAAAAAATCAATTTTAATTCCAGGTTGTAAGGCAACAAAATAGGAAATATGCCAACGGGGTTAATACTTTCGCAAGCCACTGTAGATGCACTATTGTGGCAAAAGTTATACTACACGTTCTTATCTAAATATATTTTTCAATAAACAAGTCCCAAAAAAATATCAGACAGAGGCCTTGGTTTTCCAGACAGATTGGAAATGAGACTGTAAGTTGTTATTTTGTTTGAAATGCCACTACAATGAGGCACTGTTATTTCGGATTTGATTTAGCTGCACATTAAATATTTGCACCTCTGGATATATTTTCACAGGCTGCTTTTATGCTACAGTGTCACAGTGACCCAGTTAAGAGAACACTCTCGTTTTTGTGCACTGAGGAGTGAAGAACAATCAATGTCAACATTGCATCCTATTGGTTCATAAGGCTCAAGGGGTGTTTTTTTCACTCTTATATTATTTTGCCGTCAAAACCGAGGTTTGTTTCCTTGTCTCTGTTGCCAAGCTATTAAAAGCTGCGTCTCTCTGTAGACCTTAGCGGTAATTAGTCTGGGTTTCTTTCTCACCATAGCAATCACCCATTGGTCGTCCTTTATTTGCGGCCCTACCTCGTGTGCCATTACAACTAAGGGGAATAGGAGTGTGGCCTGGTAAGGGGAATAGGAGTGTGGCCTGGTAAGGGGAATAGGAGTGTGGCCTGGTAAGGGGAATAGGAGTGTGGCCTGGTAAGGGGAATAGGAGTGTGGCCTGGTAAGGGGAATAGGAGTGTGGCCTGGTAAGGGGAATGTTGAGCTCTGGTCTGGTCTCCACTGTATTCCCTAACACCACCCGTCAACGCCATATGTGTGTTTGAATTCCAGAATGTTCCCCAGTATTCCTTCCTCCCTCCCTTTCCTTTCTCACTACTTCCCCCCCCCCCCCCCCGTCTCCACTGCAGCTAGCAGAAACGCATTACCCACAACTCCCCATGTCCTGTCAATTGGAGGGTTTTAGCCTCTCACTTTGAATGGCAGCTGTACTGACGCACTTTCTTTCTATCCCTCCTTTCCCTCTCCCTCGGTTCTCTCTCCGTCCGTTTGGGGAACAGGTATGATGAATCATCCCCCCATACCCATTGCGGAGCTGGCTGAACACACGGATCTTCTCAAAGCTAACGACAACCTGAAGCTCTCCCAGGAGTACGAGGTGAGTGGGCTAGACTGAAGGGTTAAGGGTGTAAATTGAGTCTCTGGTGAGGTGGAATGGTGTAGGGGGGAAGTTTCCTCTAGGCGCTGATCCTGGGTCAGTTTTGTGTTTTTCCAGCTAATGGTTAAGGTTAGGATTGGGGGAGGGGAAGCTGATCCTAGACCTGTACCTCGTAGAAGGTGTTTTCCCTGCTTCTTAGTGAATTAATTGTCTTTCCATCAGCCATCAGTGGTTAACGGCAGATGACATTGTAGTGGCATGTAATATGATCAAAGTTGGCATTGTAATATAATGAAACAAGACAGATTCCATTCTATACTTTAAAAGTCCCCCCCAATGCAATTTCATAATCACACCAGAAATCACTGAGCACTTATTCAGTCACAATGCACCTAGTGTCACACCAGTCAACTGTTGGTCTGTCAATCCCCATTAAGACTCTAAGCTGCAGAATAGTGGAGCTATACACACACGCTGGCATGGGGTGGGCATATAGCCGAGCTGTCGGAGCCCTGAGTGCAGCCAGAGAGGTTATAAATGAACCTGCCGCTGATTAGAAATCAGGATCGCTGAATCAGCTCTCGTTTGTATATAGCAACATTCTCTTCTTGCAGCCCCTAAATCATACGGGCCACTCTGGCCAATGGCATCAGAGCTGCACCAGGGGGAGTTGTGGGTATCGTAGTACTGGGTGCCAACAGGAGAACCACAGAAAAGCCCAGCTGCATGGTGGTGGATGTTGGGATAATGACTGCTTGCGGCCATACAGTACATCTTCCTCATGTATCAATCTGGTTGGGCCATGTACCAAATGGACATCCCTTCACACTGGCGAGGCAGAGGAGGAGCAGGGTATTGAGCGGTCAGAACACTTTGGTTCAACGTGAAGTTCTTAATTCATTGTTACTCACAGCTCCTCTCTCTCTCTCTCTCTCTCTCTCTCTCTCTCTCTCTCTCTCTTCCTCCTCCTCCTTCTCTCCTCTCTCCACTCACTCCCATAGACTATTAAAAATATATATATTTTTTTTGGGAAGTGTAATTGTAATTTTGCTATTTTCTTGATGAATTTCTGCTCATCTGGGCGCCTTGGCTTGCCAAGACTCTTCGGGCCTCTGAGTGATTGGGTTTTCAAACAGGGTGGGGTGGGGTTGGGGAAGGAGAGGATAGGAGAGAGCAGGAAGGAAGCGAGGAGAGGAGATGTGTGTGTGGAAGAAGGGGAGGTTGGGTAAAGTTCAGAGCTTTAGGGAGGGGGGTGGAGTATCGTCGGAGACCCACAGAGTGAACATAGCAGGGGTAGCTGTTGTAGGCTCGGAAAACGGGAAAACGGGAGGGAAGGAGGCTTGTTCATAGGTGGGCATCATCCTCACCCGGAACCCATAGAACGTACTGCAGGGGTGGAGTTACTAATCCATCAGGTGTCAGCAGCAACACACCCCCTCCCATAAGACCCCACCCCCTTTTGATGGGAGCCGTCAGTTATCCCCTTGGCAACACCTTGGTTTCAGGGTGGCGGCAGTGGAAGAGGGTGGGGAGGGTTAAAGAACACACTCCCTCTATTAGACACACACTCATGCCTACAAGAAAGCTTTACTACACACAGAACAATCTCCGTCAGACTTGGGGACGACCAGGCAGAGAAAAAGACAAGGGAGGGAGGGAGGAGAGAGAAGATCTCCTTGTGCAGGGCTGGCTGCCTGTTATTTCACTGTAATGATTGCAGGTAAACTGTTACCAGGCTCCCATTTGGACTTTATTTAGCCCCAATCTCTGTTCCCCGCGCCGGGCACTAACCGAAAACATCCTTCAAGCCAGCGCCAGGAGAGCTCCAGCGCCCGAATCATAATGGAAAACGAAATGACCCTGACGGGAATAGAATATTTATCCGTAATTCTGGTATTCCGAGCGCGGGCAGCATTTGTCTTGCCAGCAGCGTCGGGCCCAGGAACCTGGTTTATTCCTTCTCTCTCTCTCTCTCCCTAAGGGAAGAGCTGCCACCAACTTTGTCAATATTTTTAATGCCATTATGCAGTGTCTACTCTAATGATCTTGATAAATTAACCTTATTTCAAGGCACCGAGCAGCTGCTAATGATGCTGTTGTTCCCCAGTTTTTTTTCTCTCTCTCTCTCTCTCTCTCTCTCTCTCTCTCTCTCTCTCTCTCTCTCTCTCTCTCTCTCTCTCTCTCTCTCTCTCTCTCTCCTCTCTTCTCCGTTTCCTCCCTCTCTCTCTCTCTCCCTCCTCTCTTCTTACTCCATCTCTCTCTCCTCTCTCACTGTCTCTCTCTCTCTCTCTCTCTCTCTCTCCTGTCTCTCTTCCTCTCCCTGTATTGTTGTGTTCCATTATGTGCCCTCTCTCTGTTTCTTTCTCTCTCCTCTATTCTGAAGGTGTCTAATTGTGTGTGTGTGTGTGTGTGTGTGTGTCAAATCGAAATCAAATCAAATCAAATTTTATTGGCCACATGCGCCGAATATGCGCCGAACATGCGCCGAAAAGTGCAGACATTACAGTGAAATGCTTCCTTATAGCCCTTAACCAACAGTGCATTTATTTTTAATAAAAAAGTAGAATAAAACAACAAAAAAGTGTTGAGAAAAAAAGAGCAGAAGTAAAATAAAATAACAGTAGGGAGGCTATATATAGAGGGGGTACCGGTGCAGAGTCAATGTGCGGGGGCACCGGCTAGTTGAGGTAGTTGAAGTAATATGTACATGTGGGTAGAGTTAAAGTGACTATGCATAAATAATTAACAGAGTAGCAGCAGCGTAAAAAGATGGGGTAGGGGGGCAGTGCAAATAGTCCGGGTAGCCATGATTAGCTGTTCAGGAGTCTTATGGCTTGGGGGTAGAAGCTGTTGAGAAGTCTTTTGGACCTAGACTTGGCACTCCGGTACCGCTTGCCGTGCGGTAGCAGAGAGAACAGTCTATGACTAGGGTGGCTGGAGTCTTTGACAATTTTGAGGGCCTTCCTCTGACACCGCCTGGTATAGAGGTCCTGGATGGCAGGAAGCTTGGCCCCAGTGATGTACTGGGCCGTACGCACTACCCTCTGTAGTGCCTTGCGGTCTGATGCCAAGCAGTTGCCGTACCAAGCGGTGATGCAGCCAGTCAAGATGCTATCAATGGTGCAGCTGTAGAACCTTTTGAGGATCTGAGGGCCCCATGCCAAATCTTTTCAACCTCCTGAAGGGGAAGTGGCGCTGTCATGCCTTCTTCACGACTGTGTTGGTGTGTGTGGACCATGATATTTCCTTAGTGATGTGGACACCGAGGAACTTGAAGCTCTCAACCCTCTCCACTACAGCCCCGTCGATGTTGATGGAGGCGAGCTCGGCCCTCGATTTTCTGTAGTCCACTATCAGCTCCTTTGTCTTGCTGACGTTGAGGGAGAGGTTGTTGTCCAGGCACCACACTGCCAGGTCACTGACCTCCTCCTTATAGGCTGTCGCATCGTCGTTGGTGATCAGGCCAACCACCGTCGTGTCGTCAGCAAACTGTTGGGGTGAACAGTTTGGAGTAGAGGAGGGGACTAAGCATGCACCCCTGAGGGGTCCCCGTGTTGAGGGTCAGCGTGGCATATGTATTGTTGCCTACCCTCACCACCTGGGGGCGGCCCGTCAGGAAGTCCAGGATCCAGTTGCAGAGGGAGGTGTTCAGTCCCAGGATCCTGAGCTTAATGATGAGCTTTGTGGGCACTATGGTGTTGAACGCTGAGCTATAGTCAATGAAGAGCATTCTCACATAGGTGATCCTCTTGTCCAGGTGGGAGAGAGCAGTGTGGAGTGCAATAGAGATTGTGTCATCTGTTGATCTGTTGGGGCGGAATGCGAATTGGAGTGGGTCTATGGTTTCTGTGATGATGGTGTTGATGTGAACCATGACCAGCCTTTCAAAGTATGTCTGAGTACTACTGGGCGATAGTCATTTAGACAGGTTATGTTGGCGATCTTGGACACAGGTACTATGGTGGTCACGTGTGTGTGTGTGTGTGTGTGTGTGTGTGTGTGTGTCTGTGTGTGTCTGTCCCCACAGTCCATTGATCCAGGCCAGCAGTTTACGTGGGAACACTCCAACCTGGAGGTGAACAAGCCCAAAAACCGCTATGCCAACGTCATCGCCTATGACCACTCCCGCGTCATCCTCGCACCCATCGAAGGTAAGACCTGACACTTTTTGACACTTTTCACCCACCAATTGCAACTTTGATGCTCTATATTGGTATATTATGTCCTGATGTCCAAGGTTTAAATGTCATTGGTGTTGAGATATGTCGTGATGGAGACCAGGCAGTGAGTTATCCGGTTTAGTTATGTTTAATAACTCTTAAATCAGGCAATTAACATGCAGTCCACAGAGCTACTCTCTGCTAGTCCTCATTGCTTGGTTAGTCATATTAGCGTAGTCCCCTAGGTCAGTTACATCCGGTTATGACGACGGCACGCATAACCAATCAATTACGGAGATATCTACCAGACATCACTACAAGACACAACTGAGAAACACTGCAAGGGGAGTCTTTAGGACAATGACAAAGGAGCTCAGCCTTCAGCAGTGAAAGTCTTCTGACATTCGTCATAGCCAGGAGAACTCTTCACCCTTCAACCCTGCCAAGCTCTCAACCTCTCTCAACCTTTTTCTGTTTTTCACTCTGATTTGATTTTGACAGTTCACAATAGGCCCAATTTGAAATTGCGGCAACACGCATTACAGAATCGTCCCGGGCAAAGCGTCCATAAATACATAAATTAATCAAGTCAGAAATTTCCATTTTACAGTGCAGTGATTTTGCCATTAGTCGCAGCAGTAGAACAATTCATGCACACAGCCATTCTCTGTTCATCTAGCTATGACTAACGCCAAAGTGCCACAATCACATTGTGCGACGTGGAATCCTTTTTAATGGCGTTTGACTTTTCTTTCTTTCTCTCTCTCTCTCTTTCTCTCTCTCTCTCTCTCTCTCTCTCTCCCCCCCCCCCCCCCCCCGATTGTTGCTGAACTCTTTGTCACATCTCCCCACTCTTAAATTAGCCCAGTCGAGTGTTTCATTGTTTGTCGCTCGAGTGAGAATATGTCAGTTAAGGAACGTGATTGGTCGCCGCTGCGGCAGCCATTGCAGTCTGTTTAAGCGTTTAAGACTCTTTTAACTAGTAGGTTATAAGTCTGATAGAGGAAGACGTGTGACATTCAACTGCCTTTTATTTGTTGATAGAAGAGTAGACTGTGGAGTAGATAATAGTAGATAAAATAAGTAGACTCATTGGTTAGATATAGCTCTCCACTCTGCCCAGTCAGGAATAGAGGGTAGATACAGAGGAGGCCTGCTAATATCAGAGCTCCCATGTATTATATCCACATGAATAGGAACATTTGCATACACACAGACTATGGCTGTATTTGACAGAGAGGAGAGGTGAGCTACATTTTACTCTCTCACTCTCATTCTCACACACACACACACACACACACACACACTCTTACACACTCCCCCACACACACTCATACAACACACAAAGATATACCTATTTTCAACACACACACACACACACACATAATCAAACACACTGCAGGGCTTATTCCGACACACACACACACTTGCCCAGCCTGCGTGCGGGAGGGCTGCTTTAGCTGAGATTTAGTGGGGCCTGTGTGTGAGACAGGCTGTGGTGGCGGCAGGAGAGCGATGGCGGAGAGAGGGCCGCTCTGAGCACTGATTTGATCCCCAGATCCCACGCTCCTCCATCTTACTGCACACTACAGCATCAACATTAAATCACAGCCACAACACCAGGCTAGAGAAAGAAATAAACCAAATGTAAAGGGAGGGAGAGAGGGAGAGAGGGAGAGGGAGAGAGGGAGAGAGGGAGAGATGAAGAGAGAGAGACAGAGAGAGACAGAGAGAGACTGTCACGCCCGTCTATGAAATAGGACCAAAGCGCAGCGTTGGTAGCGAACATATTATTTATTTAAACGTACACACGAACAAAATAACGAAAACGTGACGTCTATGGTACAACATGGAAACCACACGAACAAAATCCCACAACCCGAAAGAAAAACAGACAGATTAAATATGGCTCCCAATCAGAGACAAACAGCCGACAGCTGACACTCGTTTGCCTCTGATTGGGAGTCACAACACCGGCAAACATAGAAAATAAACCCCCTAGAACACCACCAGAGAAACAGAAAACATAAATGAACACACCCTGGCTCAACAATATAGTCCCCGAGCCAGGGTGTGACAGTACCCCCCCCCTAAAGGCGCGGACTGCGACCGCGCCTAAATACGAGCGAAAACAGGGGAGGGCTGGGTGGGCATTCCTCGGCGGCGGCTCCGGCTCTGGGCTAGATCCCCACTTCCTCTCCAACCCCCCAAAGTACCCCTGGTCCTGTCTAGCCCCGCTGGCCGGAGCCGGACTGACGACACGCGCCCCTGGCCTGGTGCGTGGAACAGGAACGGACCGGACCGGGCTGACGATACACACCCCTGGCTTGGTGCGTGGAGCAGGAATGGACCGGAATGGGCTGGCGACGCGCACCACAGACTTGGTGCGGAGAGCAGGAACGAGCCGGACAGGGCTGACGACTCGCATCCCTGGCTTGGTGCGAGTAGCAGGAACGGGCTGGACCAGGCTGACGACTCGTACCCCTGGCTTGGTGCGAGTAGCAGGAACTGGCTGAACCAGGCTGACGACTCGCACCCCTGGCTTGGTGCGAGTAGCAGGAACAGGCCGGACCGGGCTGGCGACGCACACCGCAGGCTCCGTGCGTGGAGCAGGAACAGGCCGGGCCGGGCTGGCGACGCACACCGTAGGCTCTGTGCGTAGAGCAGGGACAGGCCGGGCCGGGCTGGCGATGCGCACCACAGACTCGGCGCGGAGCGCAGGAACGGGCCGGGCCGGGCTGTCGACGCACACCGCAGGTTTGGTGCGGGGAGCAGGAATAGACCGGACCGTACTGAGGACACACACCACTGGCTCCACACCGGGATCTGGAACGGGCCGGACCGGACTGGCAACACCCGCCAGTACCTCTCGCCGTGCCTCTACACCTTCCATCTCCTCTTCTACCAGTGGCCCCCGTAACCTGGCGGCCTCCTCTGCAACCCCGCTGGACCGCTCCATAGCGGCCTCCTGCTGCCCCGACGTCGTGAGCCCCCCCCTAAAAATTTTCTGGGGGTCTCTCCAGGCCTCCAACATTCTCTCCCACCTTTCGCTCCTCTGTCTCCAACCCTCTTCACTCAGCTCCTCCATGGGCTTGACCCAATCGAAGCTGCCACGGAGATTTATTCGCGATGGCTCTTCGACACGCTGCTTGGTCTGGTCTTGGTGGGATTTTCTGTCACGCCCGTCTATGAAATAGGACCAAAGCGCAGCGTTGGTAGCGAACATATTATTTATTTAAACGTACACACGAACAAAATAACGAAAACGTGACGTCTATGGTACAACATGGAAACCACACGAACAAAATCCCACAACCCGAAAGAAAAACAGACAGATTAAATATGGCTCCCAATCAGAGACAAACAGCCGACAGCTGACACTCGTTTGCCTCTGATTGGGAGTCACACCGGCAAACATAGAAAATAAACCCCCTAGAACACCCACCAGAGAAACAGAAAACATAGAATGAGCACACCCTGGCTCAACATATAGAGTCCCCGAGCCAGGGTGTGACAGAGACAGAGAGAGACAGAGAGAGAGAGAGACAGAGAGAGAGAGAGAGAGAGAGAGAGAGAGAGAGAGAGAGAGAGAGAGAGAGAGCACACAATGACCTACGAACTCAGCAATAAGAGCAATAAGTACTTGAGTAATAAGAAATTGCCTGAGCAATCAGAATTGACCACTTGGCCTGTTAACAACCAACCATTCTAGAGATTTTCCTTTGTTCAACTCAATTACTGTCTTCTCTCTGTTCCCAGGTATCACCGGCAGTGATTATATCAACGCCAACTACATAGACGGCTACAGGAAACAGAATGCCTACATCGCTACGCAGGGTCCGCTGCCCGAGACATTCGGGGACTTCTGGAGGATGGTGTGGGAACAGAGGGCAGCCACTGTGGTCATGATGACCAGACTGGAGGAGAAATCACGGGTAAGTAACTATGGCATTTAATCTGGTGTTCCCCCTGGATCGGTGTTGGGATGACTTGTTTAATGACCAAAACAGAATTTACAGAAAAAAAACTATTTGGAAATTTTGCAATGTCACTGAGGAAAGTATAAGAAGCACTTTAAAGCGCAGAGGGACAGAGAATATTTTCTGCTTGCAGACTTTAGTTCAGTGTTTCCTATAGTTAAGCCATCAGCGTAGGCATTGAGAATTGCCCTTTAACAATACAAAGAATACGTGGAAATCCGCCTTAGAAACCAACCTTACCAGCCTTACCAGCCTTACCTCAGGTGTCTAACCTCATCCCCCATCTCTGTCCTTTCGATCCGTTTACCTATCCCTCTGTCGTGTGCGTTCCGCCCCTGTCAGATACCATCAGGGTTAGCAGGCGGCCAGCGTTGACTGCAAACGCAAGGAGAGCGTTAGAGCGACGCGTTTCCTGCTCTAGATGTCACAACGCATCAGAGCCTGGAGGGGGTGCTCCGTGTTGAATGAATCTTCATTAGGTTAAATAGAATGGACAGGGTGACTAAGTGTTGGGGTGGGTGGGGGGGGGGGGGGTGGGGGGGGTATTGTGGGGTTGTCTTGGATGGACACACTGTGGTGGATCTCTGCTGGAAGGGAAACATTTAGCCATCCTCAATTGGTTGGTCCTCGTTGCTAGGGAAGGCAGGTGGGAGGGGGAAGCCTTCAGGGCAAGAGTTGATTTGACACTTCTTCCTCCCTCCCTTCTCTATGTTAATTTACCTGGAAAAGATGTGGAGTAGAGAGAAACAGTCCTGGAGTGGAGAAGATGTGAAGTAGAGAGAGACAGTCCTGGAGTGGAGAAGATGTGAAGTAGAGAGATACAGTCCTGGAGTGGAGAAGATGTGAAGTAGAGAGATACAGTCCTGGAGTGGAGAAGATGTGGAGTGGAGAGAGAAACAGTCCTGGAGTGGAGAAGAGAAGATGTTAAGTAGAGAGATAAATAGTCCTGGAATGGATAAGATGTTAAGTAAAGAGAGAAACAGTCCTGGAGTGGAGAAGATGTAAAGTAAAGAGAGAAACAGTCCTGGAGTGGAGAAGATAGGAGGAGAGAGAGAAACAGTCCTGCTGTGTTTCAGTGAGCCCGCAAGATGTTTTCTTTTCAGGAAGGCTGGAATGGGGTTTACAATGTAATAGAGTCTGTGTGATTTATTTTGTGCAGTGTGTGTGCTTGCGTGCGTGCATGCTCGCGTACGTGTTTAAATTTATGTGTGTGTGTGTGTGTGTTTGTGCACTCAGCCCCCCCTCTTCTCCTCTCTCCTCAGATCAAGTGTGACCAGTACTGGCCCAGTCGAGGCACAGAGACCTACGGTATGACCCAGGTGACCCTACTGGACACCATAGAGCTGGCCACCTTCTGCGTCCGCACCTTCTCCCTGCACAAGGTACGAGTGAGTACACAACTTTACTCCATCCATAATGTATAATAATACTCATTTCACACTATGTTGGGCAGGGTTGGGGTCGATTCCATTTAATCTTCAATCAATTCATAAAGGAAACCAAATCCCGATTCCAATTCTTTCCTCATTGAAAACAATTGAAGAGTATTGGAATTGGAATTTCAGTATACTTTCTGAATTGACTGGAATTGAAATGGAATTGACCCCAACTCTGATGTCGAGCTGTAATTTCCACTGTAGTGTCTACACGGGCAAAACACACCTCACTACACGACACATTTCAAACTGCATAATATCATTTAATCATAAGTAAGCATTTCACAGTTAGTCCACACCTGTTGTTTACAAAGCATCTGATGAATAACATTTGATTTGATTTAATTACACTCCCTACTACTATTCTACACTCTACTTTAGTATCTAAATTACACACTCATTAACAATCTAGTCCAGACTGTTATCTCATGGCAAGGTATTACCCTGACCCCTACTTCTTCAGCCCGGTCTCACAGACTAGACGTAACATAGTAAACGTAAATCAGGGACACTCAAATAATGTGATATGTTAGGTTTGGTATGGTTATATAAGACAGAAGGTTACTTAAAAAAACGAAAGTACGGTGGTTGGTCGGTGTGGACGGGTAGGCGTATAACGCGAACGTCTAGCAACCCAAAGGTTGCGTGTTCGAATCTCATCATGGACAACTTCAGCATTTTTGCTAATTAACAACTTTGTAAGTACTTACTACTTTTTAGCTACTTTGCAACTACTTCAATTTTCACTCTATTTTTCTTCATCACTGAGCAAATTTCAGGTCTGCTGAGCGCAAACTTGAACGTTGTGAAAATTCGGTGCAACTTCCGGCGCGTGTTTACTGTGAACACTGAGGCTGTACCCGCTTTAAGTAAGTTTTAACAGTGGTCAAGTAGTAACGTTTTAACAAATAGCTGTTCTGTCGTTCAGCCTACAGTAGCAGCCAATGTGTGGTGTTCAATGAAGGCCTACATTCCATGAGACATTTGAGAAAAAAACATGCAGGGCTTGACATTAACCTGTTTATCCACTTGTCCTTCAGATAAAGGGGTGACTGAAAATGTTGTTGTGTTGTTTGATACCAATTTACAAAATAAAATGCATCATTATTCCCATACCATTATTACAGAGAATCAGACAAATTATGCTACCCTCTGCCTATTGGCTACTTAGCTTATTCAAACCTGTCTCAAAATACAACACTGCCCCTTTAAGACAAAAAAAAGCTCCTTACCTGACTCGCTTTTTTTTTTGCTTAGAAATGCACACGTTTTGTGCTCTTGTAGGAAGCAATCACTCCCCCATTGCTGACTACAAATGATCTATAACTGGGCTAATAACTCACTAATGAGCAAAGGATATTAACAAATGTGCACACGTCGCTACATGTTGCTTTGTTTGATCTCAAAACAAGCGCATCTACTCACAACCGCTCATGCTGTAAAAACAGTCCAGTTCAAAGTGAATGCTACAGATTCATATATGGCAATGGTCTATTTGCATATAGGCCTACTGCAGCTCTGATTGGTTATGGTGCACCAGTCTGTGTAGAGTACGGGCTTGAGTTGTGCCTGTCAATGCAATAGAATCCTACTCCGATGCGTTCTGCCTACAACAAAATCTCTTGAATAGTTTGTTTTGTTTTGGTATGTTGAATTGAACTCTAACTCTAACTCTAACCCCTAGCCTAGCTAACATTAGCCACCTAGCTAACATTAGCGTTAGCCACCTAGCTAACATTAGCCATAACAAAGTGGGATTCATAACATATCATACGTTTTGCTAATCCGTAACATATTGTACGAATTGCAATTCGTAACATATTGTACGAGTTGCAATTTGTAACATATCATACAAATTGTATTTCATAACATATCATATGAAATGGATGATGGACATCCACAAATTAAGACATAACATACCAAATGTTACATATTCTAATTGGAGTGTTACGGATTTACATTTACTGTGTTACATCTACCCTTGAGTCCAGGTTGACTTCTTAGGCACTCCTGTGTGATCAGATAGCTTAAAACAATATTGCAATGTCTTCATCTTGCCTTCTTGTATAGGCTTGGTGAAATACTCCCTATGTTTCCTTAACCCATCCAATTGTTTCAGCGGAGGCTTTGTTTGAATGTTTTTGTGAGGCCATCTGAGGAGAAGCCACTGTGAGAGGAATAAGAACTGGTCTGAATGCGATATGAGCTGATATATGTTGGTTGTATGCAGAGTCTTGCCTGGTGGGCCCTGGGGAGAGCAAGCCTTTCAGGAGCCTGTCAGTCTGTCTGTTTGTCTCCATGTATTGTATTGGCTCCCCTTGTCAAACTCACCAACAGTGTATTTCTCTGAGCCAACACAACATCCTGCATCCAACAAGCAAATAAACAACCGAATTGCGGGGAACAGATGAAGGATGGAAAGGAGAGGGAAATAGTTTCTCTCTTCATCTTTAGCTCTCTCTTTCTCTCTCCCCCTCTATTTCTCTCTCTTTCTCCCTTGAAACTATTTACATCCTCTCCTTCCTTCTTCCCAGACGTCTCCCCTCTTCTTCTCTCGTTCACCGTCCATCATCTTTTAATGTCCATCTGCCAAAAAGAAGCACTTAGCTAAGTGAGCGGAAGAAAATGCTACATACATAATTGGCAGACGGCTCATATCCCAGCTGCCCCAGACACTTGGCAGTCAAGTGTATAGCTAGAAAATGAGACATGGGTGATACGGAGAGAGGAGAGGGAATGGAAGGGGGAGAGGCTAAGGGTCAGATGTTTCCAAGGAAATGTCTCTTTAACGGATAGGCTAGTTAGTAGCACTGGTCTTTTTGGGCTGGTTAGAATTGACAGTTTGTAGCTTTTTGGGCTTGTTGTTGTACACATCTATTGGTGTACAGCATCCTGTCAACCCCTCCCTCTACATCCCTCAATGCTCTCTATTCTTCACCTCCCTCCTCTCTCCTCCCTCCTCCCTCCTCCCTCCTCCCTCCTCCCTCCTCTCTCCTCCCTCATCTCGCTACCCGCTGCTATTCCATCTCTTCTCTCTACCCGCTGCTATTCCATCTCTTTCTTAACCTCCCTCTGTTCCCTCACACATCTCCCCCCGCCTGTCTCTTATCCCGCAATCTCTCTCTTTCTCTCCTTATTTCTGTATTAGCATGGCTTCTCATAGTTCTGTTTTCCAGCAAAGGAAACAGGTTTTGTCAGATTTGTCTGAATTTAGGCGGCAGTAGTTTTTGTATGTAGGGAATCTGTAACCCGCACACACTCCACACACACACACACACTCCACACACACACACACACACACACACACACACACACACAAACAAACACACACACACACACACACAGTCACAGGCATCCATATGTATGCATATCCTGGAGTGACACAGAACCCTCCTGACGAGTGACCAATTCTTAAAAATCAGTTATACTTCCCCGCAAAGAAAGAAGCACATCCACTGCAGAAAATACAAAACCAGTGGAATGGTCCGGGATTCAAAATAAAATAAATAAATAATCCACGCAAACTAGGTCAGTTTGCTTTTAATTACCTGATTTATTTATTCATTTATTCAGCAGGAAAGTTGGTGAGTAAAGCTCATGTGAGGTGTTTTTTTGGGGGGGGTTTTGTGTGTTTTTTCCCTCTGGAAAAATGTATTCTCATGCGTCAGGCAGCTTTCTAATGCTTCGTTATTGTCACTCTGTTTATTGTGGTTGGCACACAGACAGGGGAACTGATTTTGGGGTTAATAGATGCAGCATACCATAAGAGTGTCTAAGCAAGTAGCTAAGACACAGATACACACACACACACATTCTGTCTCTCTCTCTCTCTCTCACACACACACACACACACACACACACACTCCATGTGGTTCTGAAACCCCATCTCTCCTTTCCAGAATGGCTCCGGTGACAAGCGGGAGGTCCGTCAGTTCCAGTTCACGGCGTGGCCCGACCACGGGGTCCCCGAGTACCCCACCCCCTTCCTGGCCTTCCTCCGCCGGGTCAAGACCTGTAACCCCCCAGACGCAGGCCCCATCATCGCCCACTGCAGGTTGGTAGGACCACACATAACACAGCTACAACTAGTGGGCCCACCCAGCAGATTTCACAGAGGGATATAAGGTAAAACAATACTTCTACCACACACTGTTGGGTGCAGGCTTTGGTTGAATCCTATTCAGCTAGTGTTCAATAAGGACTCTGCTTTGGTTGAATTCTATTCAGCTAGTGTTCAATAAGGACTCTGCTTTGGTTGAATTCTATTAAAATCTAATCAAATTTGATTTGTCACATGTGCCGAATACAACAGGTATTCCTTACCGTGAAATGCTTACTTACAAGCCTTTAACCAACAATGCAGTTTTAAGAAAAATACGTTTTAAAGAAAATATTTACTAAATAAACTAAAGTTTAAAAAAGTAACTCAATAAAATAACAATAACGAGGCTATATACAAGGGGTACCGGTACCGAGTCAATGTCAATGTGCGGGGGTACAGGTTAGTCGAGGTAATTGAGGTAATATGTAAGGGTAAAGTGACTATGCATAGATAATACAGGTCCCCTGTAGCTCAGTTGGTAGAGCATGGCGCTTGCAACGCCAAGGTTGTGGGTTCGTTTCCCACGGGGGGCCAGTATGAAAATGTATGCACTCACTAACTGTAAGTCGCTCTGGATAAGAGCGTCTGCTAAATGACTAAAATGTAAATAATAAACAGCGAGATTTCCACTAGTGTTCAATAAGGACTCTGGTTAGTTGAATCATGTGTGTTGAGTTTTCCTCTCTTTATTCCAATGGACCTAGCACTTGAAAATATAAAATATAAAAAAACATTTACTTATTTTCTTAGATCAATCACAAAATACTTGCTATATATCCCTCAAACTTAACTCTGGACCTCGAAGCTAATTCCACTGCATGTTTTCATTGTTCCCCTCTAATTAGAGACTGCTTTAGACCTGGGACACCAGGTGGGTGAAATTAATTATCAGGTAGAACAGAAAACCAGCAGGCTACTGACTTCGTAGGGTCAGAGTTGAATACCCCTGATATAAATGGTCCAAATGCAATTCACTAGATCGCCATGGCAACAAACATTGCTTCAACCTGGTGGGTTGTGTAAGTCATTTAATTGCAATTATTAATTATATATTTCTATTTTATGGTCTAAACCAGGGTTCCCCTACTGTTCCCCGAATTTGGCCCGCGGGTGATTTTATTTGGCCCCCAATGTTTTCAGAGCAAAAATAAACTGTATATATTTGAGTTTTTGTATTTTTTATTGTTGGACATAAGATACTGTAAAAAGACTGTAAAAACAACAGCTCCAAGTGATTTTAATTTTGGAAATCTGTTTGAAATTATTCCCACGCAGAATAGGGATATATACAGTATGTGATCGTATACAAATAAGCAAGGTTTGAATTTATTATGTTTTAGTCAAATATTTGTGCTTCTTGCAGTCTACAAATTAGTCATAATTATGTTCCGGCCCCTTCACCATCCGCTCAAGAAAAAATTAAGTTGATGATCCCTGTTCTAAACGTTGTAGTTTTGTGGCATTCTTGCCTTTAAATCACAATCATACGCTTATTGTTTAGGATATCTATGTTCCTTTGTAGCTGTAAACTTCGTACAGTTGCCCTTTGAAGGAGGTGTGATAAAAAACACTGTTCTACCCTACATCACATTACACGATACACATCAGTGGTCCAAAGGGTGTGTGTGTGTGTGTGCGTGTGTGTGTGTGTGTGTGTGTGTGCGTGTGTGTGTGCGTGTGTGTGCGTGTGTGCGTGCGTGTGTGCGTGTGTGTGTGTGCGTGCGTGTGTGTGTGTGTGTGTGCGTGCGTGTGTGTGTGTGTGTGTGCATGTGTGCGTGCGTGCGTGCGTGCGTGCGTGCGTGCGTGTGTGTGTGTGTGTGTGTGTACACGGTTCAGTGCATAGATCCAGTCAGGCAGTGCTGGTAAAACAGTAGTTGTGGTGAGTAAAGTGAAGGTCAGTTATCCAGTGTGTTAACGTTAGACTGCAGGGCTGTGAGTCACTAACACACACACATGCACACACACACGCTCACTCCCTTCCTCTCACTCTCTGTGCCTCTGTCTCCTTAACCCTTACTTGCTCCATCTCTCTCTCTCCCCATCTCTCTCTCTCCCTCTCTTTCTCAATTCAATTCAATTTAAGGGGCTTTATTGGCATGGGAAACATATGTTTACATTGCCAAAGCAAGTGAAATAGATAATAAACAAAAGTGAAATAAACAATACAAAAATGAACAGTAAACATTACACTCACAAAAGTTCCAAAAGAATAAAGACATTTCAAATGTCTTTTATGTCTATATACTGTACAGTGTTGTAACGATGTGCAAATAGTTAAAGTACAAAAGGGAAAATAAATAAACATAAATATGGGTTGTATCTTGTGGCAACAGGTCACAAATCTTGCTGTTGTGATGGCACACTGTGGTATTTCACCCAATAGATATGGGAGTTTTTCAAAATTGGGTTTGTTTTCGAATACTTTGTGTGTCCGTGTAATCTGAGGGAAATATGTGTCTCTATATAATAATATAATATGCCATTTAGCAGACGCTTTTACCCAAAGTGACTTATAGTCATGCGTGCATACATTTTTGTGTATGGGTGGTCCCGGGGATCGAACCCACTACCTTGGCGTTACAAGCGCCGTGCTCTACCAGCTGAGCTACAGAGGACCACAGTCTCTAATATGGTCATACATTTGGCATGAGGAAGTGCATCTCAGTTTCCACCTCATTTTGTGGGCAGTGTGCACATAGCCTATCTTCTCTTGAGAGCAAGGTCTGCCTACGGCGGCCTCTCTCAATAGCAAGGCTATGCTCACTGAGTCTGTACATAGTCAAAGCTTTCCTTAATTTTGGGTCAGTCACAGTGGTCAGGTATTCTGCCACTGTGTACTCTCTGTTTAGGGCCAAATAGCATTTGAGTTTGCTCTGTTTCTTTGTTAATTACTTGACACATTGGAAATAATTATATTTTAGTTTTCTCATGATTTGGTTGGGTCTAATTGTGTTGCTGTCCTGGGGCTCTGTAGGGTCTGTTTGTGTTTGTGAACAGAGCCCTAGGACCAGCTTGCTTAGGGGACTCTTCTCCAGATTCATCTCTCAGTAGGTGATGGCTTTGTTATGGAAGGTTTGGGAATCGCTTCCTTTTAGGTGGTTGTAGAATTTAACTGCTCTTTTCTGGATTTTGATCATTAGCGGGTATCGGCCTAATTCTGCTCTGCATTAATTAGTTGGTGTTTTACGTTGTACACAGAGGATATCTTTTGCAGAATGCTGCATACAGAGTCTCAATTTGGTGTTTGTCCTATTTTGTGAATTCTTGGTTGGTGTAGGATGGAGAAGCTGTCTTCATTAAAGTACTGGGATTCTAGTGGTAGCACAGAAATACATTTTTCTCTGATCACTTCCTTTTGAATAAATAGCAAAATGTAAAATGTTACAGTTTTTATAAATTTAATAGAGTGAGATAGGTCTCTCTCATCTCATCTCATCTCTCTCTCTCTCTCTCTCTCTCTCTCTCTCTCTCTCTCTCTCTCTCCTCTCTCTCTCTCGCTCTCTCTCTCCTCCCTCCATCTCTCTCCCCCATCTCTTTCTCTCTCTCTCTCTCTCTCTTTCTCTCTCACTCTCTCTCTCTCTTCATCAACATCAACATTTTGTACAGTAAACATTACACTCACAAAATAAAACATTTCAAATGTCATATTATGTGCAAATAGTTAAAGTACAAAAGGGAAAATAAATAAATATAAACATGGGTTGTATTTACAATGGTCTTTGTTCTTCACTGGTTGCCCTTTTCTTGTGGCAACAGGTCACAAATCTTGGCTGTTGTGGATGGCACACTGTGGGTATTTCACCCAAATAGATATGGGATTTGGGGTTTTGTTTTCTAATCTCTATTCTCTTCATCTCTCTCTCTCCATCCTCTCTCTCTCTCTCGGTCTCTCCTCTCTCTCTTCTTCTCTCTTCTCTCTCTCTCTCTCTCTCCTTCTCTCTCCTCCTCTCTCTCTCTCCCTCACTCTCTCCCTCTCTCTTCATCTCTCTCTTTCTCTCTCATCTCTTCTCTCTCGTCCTCCTCTCCTCTCTCTCTCTTCTCTCTCTCTCCTCTCGCTCTCCTCCTCTCTCTCTCTCTCTTCTCCCTCTCTGTCTCTCTCTCTCTCTCCTCTTTTTCTCTTCTTCTCAAATCAAATTAATGTTATTTTCACATGCGTCCAAATACAACAGGTGTATACCTTCCAGTGAAATGCTGACTGACAAGCCCTTAACACAATGCAGTTTTCAGAAACAATACTTGTTCAGTAAAAAATAGATAAGTAAAAATAATAACCAAAGAGGCAGCAGTAAAATAAAATAACAGTAGGGAGGCGATATCAGGGGTTACCGGTACAGAGTCAATATGTGGGCGGGGGCATCTGTTAGTTGAGGTAATTGAGGTAGTATGTACTGTGAGTAGAGTTAAAGTGACTATGCATAGATAATAAACAGAGTAGCAGCAGCGGGGGTGGGGTGGGGGGGACAATGCAAAAAGTCTCTGTAACCATGAGTCTTTTGGCTTGGGGGTAGAAGCTGTTAAGAAGCCTTTTGGACCTAGACTTGGCACTCCGGTACCGCTTGCTGTGCGGTAGCAGAGAGAACAGTCTATGACTAGGGTGGCTGGAGTCTTTGACAATTTTTAGGGCCTTCCTCTGACACTGCCTGGTATAGAGGTCCTGGATGGCAGGAAGCTTGGCCCCAGTGATGTACTGGGCCATACGCACTACCCTCTGTAGTGCCTTGCGGTCGGAGGCCGGGCAGTTGCCATACCAGGCAGTGATGCAACCAGTCAGGATGCTATCAAAGGTGCAGCTGTATAACTTTTTGAGGATCTGAGGACCCATGCCAAATCTTTTCAGTCTCCTGAGGGGGAATAGGCTTTGTCGTGCCCTCTTCACAACTGTCTTGGTGTGTTTGGAACATGATAGTTTGTTGGTGATGTGGACACCAAGGAACTTGAAGCTCTCAACCTGTTCCACTACAGCCCAGTCGATGAAAATGGGGGCATGCTCAGTCCTCTTTTTTTTCCTGTAGTCCACAATAACCTCCTTTGTCTTGATCACATTGAGAGAGAGGTTATTATCCTGGCACCACACGGCCAGGTCTCTGACCTCCTCCCTATAGGCTGTCTCATCGTTGTCGGTGATCAGGCCTACCACTGTTGTGTCGTCAGCAAACTTAATGATGGTGTTGGAGTCGTGGGCCATGCAGTCATGGGTGAACAGGGAGTACGGGAGGAGACTGAGCACGCACCCCTGAGGGGCCCCCGTGTTGTGGATCAGTGTGGCAGATGTGTTGTTACCTACCCTTACCACCTGGGGGTGTTTAGTCCCAGGGTCCTTAGCTTAGTGATGAGCTTTGAGGGCACTATGGTGTTGAACACTGAGCTATAGTCAATTAATAGCATTCTCACGTAGGTGTTCCTCTTGTTCAGGTGGGAAAGGGTAGTGTGGAGTGCAATAGAGATTGCATCATCTGTGGATCTGTTGGGGCGGTATGCAAATTGGAGTGGGTCTAGCGTTTCTGGGATAATGGTGTTGATGTGAGCCATGACCAGCCTTTCAAAGCACTTCATGGCTACAGATGTGAGTGCTACGGGTCTGTAGTCATTTAGGCAGGTTATCTTAGTGTTTTTGGACACAGGAACTATGGTGGTCTGCTTCAAACATGTTGGTATTACAGACTCAGACAAAATGTCAGTGAAGACACTTTCCAGTGGTCAGCGTATGCCGGAGTACACGTGAATCGTCGGACCCGCGGTCTTGGAAGTGGACCGCATAAAAGTCTCTACTACATTTTCATTTTTTTTCTTTAGCGACCTCTTATCCGAGGCCGGGGGGAATTGGGGGCCAAATCAAGGTTCAAAAGGGAGGGAAAAACGGGGTAAACAGTCTTAAGGGGGGGGTCCAAAAATTTGGGGGGAAGGGTGGGAAAAGGGGGAGGGTTTTAAGGAGGCGAATTTCGGGCGTTCATCGTTGGGGGGGGTGATAGGTAAGGGGGGAAAAAAAACAAAAAGGTGGAGTGGGGGGGAATGAGTCTTGGGGACAGGGGTCGGAGAGATAAACAGCCCCCTTTGGGGGGGGGAAGGTTTGGAGGGTGATAAAAAGGGGGTGGGAAAAAAAAGGGGCCAGAAGGTGAGAAATGGGGCATAGGGGGTGGGTTAAAACTTTGGGGGGGGGGGTCAGGGGAATAATTTCAAGGGTGTCTCTGTTCCAGGGAAGGAGGGGCGAAAAGAGAAAGGAATTTTCTTTGGGATTGTTTGGGGCGGGGGGTGCAAAAGGGAGGGGTTAGGTCCCCGGGGGAAAAAAAGGGTTTGGGAAAACCCCCCTTCAAGCCTTATGCAAAACCGGGGGGGGGAGGCAGGGTCGGGGGCTTTGGGGGGTTATCTGTTCCCGGGAAAGGGGGAATATGGGGTTCTGGTAAACATTTTTTGGAAAGAAACCCGCAAATGCCTGAACGGGAATCATTTTGGGGGTTCAGGGAACCGGTAGACACCCTTTGGGGGGTTCGTTGGGGCCCGGGAAAGGGGAGCAATAAAAAGTTTACATGGACGGAGGGTGAACATAGTATCTGGAAAGGGGGGCCCCAAAGCTGTTTTTTTCAGTATCTCCTCCTCCCCTCTTCCTCCCCAATAAAGGGGAAACTTAAAGTGATTTTTGATTTTTTTTAAAAAGGAAAAACCTAAGGGGGGCCCCGGGGCCTGGGAAAAAATTTTGGGCCAAAAAATAATTTCCCTTTCCCCCTTCTTCCCCCCTTTCCTCCTTTTCCCTGCCCCCCCCTCCCTTCCGATCTCCTCCCCCCCCAGTGCGGGCGTGGGTCGGACGGGCTGCTTCATCGTGATCGATGCCATGCTGGAGCGCATCAAGCACGAAAAGACAGTGGACATCTACGGCCACGTGACCCTGATGCGATCGCAGCGTAACTACATGGTGCAGACGGAGGATCAGTACAGCTTTAACCACGACTCGCTGCTGGAGGCGGTGGCGTGCGGCGACACGGAGGTGGCGGCCAGGAGCCTGTTCTCCTACATCCAGAAGCTGGCCCAGGTGGAGACGGGCGAGCACGTCACCGGCATGGAGCTGGAGTTTAAGGTAGGGAATGGGGATGTAGGTAGGGTACAGGGAAACTGAGGTAGGTAAGACCGGAAAGGCACAAAATGGAGGATGTTTGTTTGGTAGAGTGGAGCAGAGCTGGAGTTTAAGGTTGGCCATAGACATACACTGTAGGTACGTAGGCCGCAGTGAACCTGAGATAAGGGAGGGTGGGGAAAGGCACAAAATGTTCATGATAGAAGGGAGCTTGAAATAAATGTATAGGCCCACCAATACAAAACCATAAATCATGTTGAGACACAAAATGGAGGTTTTATCTCCAGTTGCTCTCAATGCTCTGTCACATTCATGATATCTTGTGCCAGAGGTAACACTACCATTTAAATTGAAATGGCCTTGATAATATATATTGACATATTTATTTTATACCTGTACATTAAAATGGGCATATCGATACCCCATCCCAATTAATGGAGTTAAAAATGTTAATAGACAGCTTATTAAACCACGTTCAAGTGAGCTTTCACTTCAATCATTCACTCCCTGTTTAATCACACCACTCAATACCATTGTTTATTAAAAAGCTAGAAATTGAATAGTTAAGCTGTCTGCCTTTGTCTTTGCTGCGAATTTTTTATTTTTTTATTTTATTTAACCTTTATTTAACCAGGTAAGCCAGTTGAGAACAAGTTCTCATTTACAACTGCGACCTGGCCAAGATAAAGCAAAGCAGTGCGATAAAAACAACAACACAGAGTTACATATGGAATAAACAAAACGTACAGTCAATAACACAATAGAAAATCTATATACAGTGTGTGCAAATGTAGTAAGTTATGGAGGTAAGGCAATAAATTGGCCATAGTGCAAATTAATTACAATTATAATTTAGTATTAACACTGGAGTGATAGATGTGCAGAAGATGATGTGCAAATAGAGATACTGGGGTGCAAATGAGCAAAATAAATAACAATGTAAATTATTACAGATGGGCTGTGTACAGGTGCAGTGATCGGTAAGCTGCTCTGACAACTGATGCTTAAAGATAGTGAGGGAGATAATTGTCTCTAGCTTCAGAGATTTTAGCTTCAGAGATTTTTGCAGTTCGTTCCAGTCATTTGCAGCAGAGAACTGGAAGGAATGGTGACCAAAGGAGGTGTTGGCTTTGGGGATGAGTGGGTGTTGCTTGCTATGGTGACCAATGAGCTAAGATAAGGCGGAGATTTGCCTAGCAGTGATTTATAGATGGCCTGGAGCCAGTGGGTTTGGTGACGAATATGTAGTGAGGGCCAGCCAACAAGAGCGTACAGGTCACAATGGTGGGTAGTATATGGGGCTTTGGTGACTAAACGGATGGCACTGTGATAGACTACATCCAATTTGCTGAGTAGAGTGTTGGAGGCTATTTTGTAAATTACATCGCCGAAGTCAAGGATCGGTAGGATAGTCCGTTTTACGAGGGCATGTTTAGCAGCATGAGTGAAGGAGACTTTGTTGCGAAATAGGAAGACGATTCTAGATTTTACTTTGGATTGGAGATGCTTAATGTGAGTCTGGAAGGAGAGTTTACAGTCTAACCAGACACCTAGGTATTTATAGTTGTCCACATATTCTAAGTCAGAGCCGCCGAGAGTAGTGATTCTAGTCGGGTGGGCGGGTGCCAGCAGCGTTCGATTGAAGAGCATGCATTTAGTTTTACTAGTGTTTAAGAGCAGTTGGAGGCCACGGAAGGAGTGCATTTCAGAAGGATTTAAAATAATAGATAGAACAGCTTTGTGATCAGTGCATAAGACTCCAAATGAAGGATTATTCTGTAAAAGCATAAAATGATTAAGTTCAAATTTAACAAATACCGCTTGTATGAAAACCCATTACCAAAACCTGGAAGGGCATGGAATCTGGGCGAGCACTTAGCGAGAGACCAACGATCCAATCCGATTAAAACTTTAATGTCCCCCCCCGTACAACAACACACTTGACCTTGAGTTACACATGGACACGCCCCCTATCTCGGGTCTATCTCGCCTCCCGAAATCATTTGTAATACGCCGACACCATTTATCATCTCACCACACTATTAGTGACGGTTTTCATCTAAGTGACGGTTAGATCTTTTAATCTATCATTTGTTACAGTAAACCGCCATACAGTCTGAAAATAGCTACACCGTTTTTTGGAATAGCAATAATGGTACGGAGTGGTATAAAGTCATGTCGGAGTAGTAGCGGCTGCGGCGTCTGTCATAGCGTGAGACCGTTAGTTATCTACTGTAATTAATAGTCGATGATGACGAATGGCAAGTTAGAATGCGAGGCCAATCAGGACGGTACTCACTAATGAACAGAACAGAAAGACGTTACTGCGTCTTAGAAAGGAGTTGCGCAGTCAGTCACACAGTGCATTCGGAAAGTATAGTTTAGTTACGTTAAAGGCTTATTCTAAAATGGATTGTAAAAAATCCTCATCATACACCATAATGACATCCCCACAGCATGATGCTGCCACCACCCATGCTTCACTGTAGGGATGGTGCCAGGTTTCCTCCAGATGTGAATCTTGGCATTCAGGCAAAGAGTTCAATCTTGGTTTCATCAGACCCAGAGAATCTTGTTTCTTATGGTCAGAGTCCTTTAGGTGCCTTTTGGCAAACTCCAAGCGGGCTGTCATGTGCCTTTTACTGAGGAGTGGCTTCCGTCTGGCCACTCTACCATAAAGGCCTGATTGGTGGAGTGCTGCAGAGATGGTTGTCCTTCTGGAAGGTTCTCCCATCTCCACAGAGGAACTCTGGAGCTCTGTCAGAGTGACCATCTCAGTGTGACCATCGGGTTCTTAGTCACCTCCCTGACCAAGGCCCTTCTCCCCCGATTGCTCAGTTTGGCCAGGCGGCCAGCTCTAGGAAGAGTCTTGGTGGTTCCAAACTTCTTCCATTTAAGAAAGATAAAGGCCACTGTGTTCTGGGGACCTTCAATGCTTCAGAAATATTTTGGCACCCTTCCCCAGATCTGTGCCTCGACAAAATCCTGTCTCGGAGCTCTACGGACAATTCCTTCGACCTCATGGTTTGGTTTTTGCTCTGACATGCACTGTGAACTGTGGGACCTTATATAGACAGGTGTGTGCCTTTCCAAATCATGTCCAATCAATTGAACTTGCCACAGGTGGAATCCAATCAAGTTGTAGAAACCTCTCAAGGATGATCAATGGGAACAGGATGCACCTGAGCTCAATTTCAAGTCCCATAGACATTTACATTTTACATTTTAGTCATTTAGCAGACGCTCTTATCCAGAGCGACTTACAGGAGCAATTAGGGTTAAGTGCCTTGCTCAGGGCACATTTACGTCTTTATGCAGACGCTCTAGTCCAGAGCGACTCACAAATTGATGCATTCACCCTATAGCCCGTGGGATAACCACTTTAACAATTTTTTTTTTGGGGGGGGGGGGTAGAAGGATTACTTTATCCTATCCCAGGTATTCCTTAAAGAGGTGGGGTTTCAAATGTCTCCGGAAGGTGGTGAGTGACTCCGCTGTCCTGGCGTCGTGAGGGAGCTTGTTCCACCATTGGGGTGCCAGAGCAGCGAACAGTTTTGACTGGGCTGAGCGGGAGCTATGCTTCCGCAGAGGAAGGGGAGCCAGCAGGCCAGAGGTGGATGAACGCAATGCCCTCGTTTGGATGTAGGGACTGATCAGAGCCCGAAGGTACAGAGGTGCCGTTCCCCTCGCTGCTCCAAAGGCAAGCACCATGGTCTTGTAACGGATGCGAGCTTCAAACTGGAAGCCAGTGGAGTGTGTGGAGGAGGGGGGTGACGTGAGAGAACTTGGGAAGGTTGAACACCAGACGGGCTGCGGCATTCTGGATGAGTTGTAGGGGTTTAATGGCACATGCAGGGAGGCCAGCCAACAGCGAATTGCAGTAATCCAGACGGGAGATGACAAGTGCCTGGATTAGGACCTGTGCCGCTTCCTGTGTAAGGCAGGGTCGTACTCTCCGAATGTTGTAGAGCATGAACCTGAAGGAGCGGGTCACCGCCTTGATGTTAGCGGAGAACGACAGGGTGTTGTCCAGGGTCACGCCAAGGCTCTTCGCACTCTGGGAGGAGGACACAACGGAGTTGTCAACCGTGATGGCGAGATCATGGAACGGGCAGTCCTTCCCCGGGAGGAAGAGCAGCTCCGTCTTGCCAGGGTTCAGCTTGAGGTGGTGATCCGTCATCCATACTGATGTGTCTGCCAGACATGCAGAGATGCGATTCGCCACCTGGTTATCAGAAGGGGGAAAGGAGAAGATTAGTTGTGTATCGTCAGCGTAGCAATGATAGGAGAGGCCGTGTGAGGATATGACAGAGCCAAGTGACTTGGTGTATAGGGAGAAAAGGAGAGGGCCTAGAACTGAGCCCTGGGGGACACCAGTGGTGAGAGCACGTGGTGCGGAGACAGCTTCTCGCCACGCCACTTGGTAGGAGCGACCGGTCAGGTAGGACACAATCCAGGAGTGAGCCGCGCCGGAGATGCCCAGCTCGGAGAGGGTGGAGAGGAGGATCTGATGGTTCACAGTATCAAAGGCAGCAGACAGGTCTAGAAGGACAAGAGCAGAGGAGAGAGAGTTAGCTTTAGCAGTGCGGAGAGTCTCCGTGACACAGAGAAGAGCAGTCTCAGTTGAATGACCAGTCCTGAAACCTGATTGGTTTGGATCGAGAAGGTCATTCTGAGAGAGATAGCAAGAGAGTTGGCTAAAGACGGCACGCTCAATAGTTTTGGAAAGAAAAGAAAGAAGGGATACTGGTCTGTAGTTGTTGAACATCAGTGGGGTCGAGTGTTGGTTTTTTGAGAAGGGGAGCAACTCTCGCTCTCTTGAAGACGGAAGGGACATGGCCAGCGGTCAAGGATGAGTTGATCAGCGAGGTGAGGTAGGGGAGAAGGTCACCGGAGATGGTCTGGAGAAGGGAGGAGGGGATGGGGTCAAGCGGGCAGGTTGTTGGGGCGGCCTGCAGTCACAAGTCGCAGGATTTTATCTGGAGAGAGAGGGGGAGAAAGAAGTCAAAGCATAGGGTTAGGGCAGTGTGAGCAGGACCAGCAGTGTCATTAGACTTAACAAACGAGGATCGGATGTCGTCAACCTTCTTTTCAAAGTGGTTGACGAAGTTATCCCAGAGAGAGAGGAGGGGGGGGGGGGGGGGGTTGGGGGGGGGGGGGGGGGGGGGGGGGTTGGGGTGGGGGGGTTTTTTTTCCCTTTTTTTTTTTTTTTTTTTTTTGGTTTTTTTTTCCGGGGGTTGGGTTTTTTTTTTTTCCCTTTTTTGGGGGTTTTGGGGGGGGGGGGTTTTTTTTTTTTTTTTTTTTTTTTTTCCGTGTTGTGTATTTTTTTTTCAAAGTTTGAAGTTATTCCGGAAAAGGGGGGGATTTTCTTTCCCTTCGTATTAAATGTTCCCAGAGCTACCTAGGGTTAGAGGCAGATGCTTGGAATTTAGGTTGTAGAAGGGGGCCCTTTACAGCAAAAACCCAGATAAGAAATAAGAGAGGGGAGTGAAAAGATGCCAGGTCGGCAGGGAGTTAGTTTTCTTCCATTTCCGCTCCGCTGCCCGGAGCTCTGTTCTGTGAGCTCGCAATGAGTCTCAAGCCACGGAGCTGGGGGGGGAGGACCGAGCCGGCCGGGAGGATAGGGGACACAGAGAGTCAAAGGATGCAGAAAGGGAGGAGAGGAGGGTTGAGGAGGCAGAATCAGGAGATTGGAGGGAGAAGGATTGAGCAGAGGGAAGAGATGATAGGATGGAAGAGGAGAGAGTAGTGGGAGAGAGAGAGCGAAGGTTGCGGCGGCGCATTACCATCTGTGTAGGGGCAGAGTGAGTAGTGTGGGAGGAGAGCGAGAGAGAAAAGGAAACAAAGTAGTGGTCGGAGACATGGAGGGGAGTTGCAGTGAGATTAGTAGAGGAGCAGCATCTAGTGAAGATGAGGTCAAGCGTATTGCCTGCCTTGTGAGTAGGGGGGGGACGGTGAGAGGGTGAGGTCAAAAGAGGAGAGGAGTGGAAAGAAGGAGGCAGAGAGAAATGAGTCAAATGTGGACATAGGGAGGTTGAAATCCCCCATAGCAAGTGGTCTGAATACTTATGTAAATAAGGTATTTCTGTTTTTTATTTGTAATACATTTGCAAAAAATTCTAAAAACCTGTTTTCGCTTTGTCATTATGGGGTATCGTGTGTAGATTGATGAGGAAAAATATTAATTGAATCAATTTTAGAGTAAGGCTGTAATGTAACAAAATGTGGAAAAAGTCAAGGGGCCTGAATACTTTCCGAATGCCCTGTAGGCTGGAGAGCAGTCGTCCATAGTGATCTGTATCTCGTTGTTTACAAACTACTGCCCGTCCACACACCAGACCTAGGTTCAAGTAGTATTTGTTACTTGTTTTCTTCCAAATTCGCTTCGATGCTCGACTAAGCTTGCCTGGCCCAATGGAACCAATAGAATAGTCCTAAAAGTGCAAATCCCACCCATCGTGCTCAGCATCATGTCCACTTGGCCAGCTGTAGGCGTAATCACCAGTACAGTATCATCCTGAATGCCTTGTGGAAAGGGCCACGACAGTGGAGAAAACATGGCAACTAAGGTTGTTTCAATGACTAGAGGTTTCCTAGGTGCATCTCTGCCCTTAGAAGGGAAAAAGGAGGATCGGTTGCCAGATTGGGTCGTTTCCAATCCAAACTATCCAACCGGTGTTTGGTGTAGTAGCAGCTCTGGGCGTCTTTAGCCTTGCCAGCCCGTCTCATGCCCTTCCAAGTGCCTCTGTGAAACAGGGATCAAAGGGAGGACAGGAGAGGAGGGGAGAGACAGGAGAGAGGGAGGAGAGGAGAGGAGAGGAGGGAGAGGGAAGAGAGGAGAGGAGGGAGACAGGAGAGATGGAAGAGAGGAGAGGAGGGAGTGTGTGTGTGTGTGTGTGTGTGTGTGTGTGTGTGTGTGTGTGTGTGTGTGTATGTGAGTGAATATATAGTCAGACAGACTGTCCCAAAAACTGCCATGGTGGTCCCTCTGATGGTCACTTGTCAGTACAGGCCCCAATTTGGATCATGACACTGTGTGTGCGTGCGTGCGTGCGTGCGGGTGCATGTGCGTGCGTGTGCGTGCGGACATGCTAGAATGTATTCTGTGTCATTATCAAAGACTCCAGTGACCCACTTTTCCTTTTTGTAGAGAGAGAGTGTTCTGGTTTACTGTTTAATAGAAATCCCACTTTAGAGTTTCAGTTTGATGGTAGCTTGTTAATGTCGTGCCTTAAATCATAGTAACTTACCTCATAGCAGCTCACACAAGACTCACTGCAAAGTGCAGGGAAATTAAAAGAAAAGGGTGAGTAGAACAAAGGCTTTGATTTCTCCATACTGCCATTTATAATGAATGCATTCATCAAATAGATATGTCTGCATTTTGAAGGTGCTTTAGCGATCGGCTCAGTTCTTTATTACTCTGCAGTCCTTAATCTCTCTCTCCTTCTATCCATCTCTCCTTCTCCCTCCTTCTATCCATCTCTCCTTCTCTCTCTTTCTATCCTTCTCACTCTCATCCCCTCTCCCTGCCTCTCCATATCCCACTCTCACTCCAATCCCCTCCATCCCTCCCTCCCTCTCTCCCCCACCCCTCTCCCTACCTCTCCATATCCCACTCTCACTCCAATCCCCTCCATCCATCCCTCTCTCCCCCACCCCTCTCCCTGCCTCTCCATATCCCACACCCACTCCAATCCCCTCCATCCATCCCTCTCTCCCCCACCCCTCTCCCTGCCTCTCCATATCCCACACCCACTCCAATCCCCTCCATCCATCCCTCTCTCCCCCACCCTCTCCCCGCCTCTCCATATCCCACTCTCACTCTATTCCCCTCCATCCATCCCTCTCTCCCCCACCTTCTCCATACCTCTCCATATCCCACTCTCACTCCAATCCCCTCCATCCATCCCTCTCTCCCCCACCCCTCTCCCTGCCTCTCCATATCCCACTCTCACTCCAATCCCCTCCCTCCCTCTCTCCTCCCCCACCCTTCTCCCTACCTCTCCATATCCCACTCTCACTCTATCCCCTCCATCCCTCTCTCCCCCACCCTTCTCCCTACCTCTCCATATACCACTCTCCCCCTTTTCACCCCCCTTCCCATCTCCTCCCTCTCCACCCATCTCTCCCTCCATCCACCCACCCCTCTCTCTACAGCGCCTAGCCAACTCCAAGGCCCATACGTCCAGGTTTATCAGTGCCAACCTGCCCTGCAACAAGTTCAAGAACCGCCTGGTGAACATCATGCCCTACGAGACCACCCGTGTCTGCCTGCAGCCAATTAGGGGCCTCGAGGGCTCCGACTACGTCAACGCCAGCTTCATCGATGGATACAGGTAGGTGGAACGGGTGGGTGGAAGTCGGAAGGGTGTGTGAGTGGGGCGGTGTTAGAGAGTGTGGGCGAGCGAGTGCGCGAACAACAAGTGTGTTCATATCAAAATCCGAATAAACCAATGGTTTGATGAAACTTTGATTAGGGAGCGGACTCGCCCCGCTACATGGCTGACCTGACTGTGTGTTTGTGTTGCCAGGCAACAGAAGGCCTACATCGCTACGCAGGGCCCTTTGGCAGAGACCACAGAGGACTTCTGGAGGATGATGTGGGAGAACAACTCCACTATTGTAGTCATGCTCACCAAACTCCGAGAGATGGGCAGGGTAGGGGACACTCTATCTTTCTCTCTCGCTTTCTTTCTCTCTTTCTCTTTCTCTCTGTCTCTCTCTCTCTCTCTCTCTCTTTTTCTCTCTGTCCCACTCACCTCAAGCATTCTTCATTCTGTCCATCATTTAGCGTGGTTATCCTGTGTGGTGCAGGTCTGTACCACTGGAACACATGCCTAACCTGCACAAACAGTAATCCTCTGTGTCCACGTTCATCTCAATGTGTATGTTCTCCTCCCCCCCCTCATATGTCTCTCTCTCTCTCTCTCTGTGTCCACGTTCATCTCAATGTGTATGTTCTCCTCCCCCCCCTCCTCATATGTCTCTCTCTCTCTCTCTCTCTGTGTCCACGTTCATCTCAATGTGTATGTTTCTCCCCCCCCCCCCCCCCCCCTCATATGTGTGTCTCTCTCTCTCTCTCTCTCTCCTCTCTGTGTCCACGTTCATCTCAATGTGTATGTTCCCTCCCCCCCCTCATTTTTCTCTTCCTCTCCTTCTCGTCTCTGTGTCCCACGTTCATCTTCAATGGTATGTTCTCCTCCCGCCCCCCCCCCCCCCCCCCCCCCTCATATGTCTCTCTCCGCTCTCTCCTCCTCTCGCTCTGTGTCCCACGTTCATCTCAATGTGTATGTTCTCCCCCCCCCCCTCCCCCCCGCCCAACCCCCATACTATGTCTCCTCTCTCTCTCTCTCCATCTGTTGTCCACGTTCCATCCTCAATGTGTATGTTTCTCCTTTCTCCTCCCCCATCCCGCCCTCATTATGTCTCTCTCTCATCTCTCTCTCTGGTGTCCCACGTTCATCTCAACCTGTGTATGTTGCCTCCCCCCCCCTCATAGGTCCTCTCTCGCTCTCTCCTGTGGTCCACGTTCATGCCAATGTGTATGTTTCTCCCTCCCCCCCCTCATATGTGTGTGACTCTCTCTCTCTGTGTCCATGGTTCATCTCAATGTGTATTGTTCTCCTCCCCCCCCCCCCTCATACTGTGTGTGTCTCCTCTCTCCTGGTGGTCCAACGTTCATCTCAAATTTTATGTTTCCCCCCCCCCCCCCCATATGTGGGTGTCTTTCCCCTCTCTGTTCCACTTCATCTCAAAGTGTTTTTCTCCCCCCCCTCATTGTGTTTTTCTCTTCTTCTCTTGGGCCCGTTCCT